ATGTAAGAACCAAAAAAGAAATTTGATACATTATTTATTTATTTTTTGGTTTTCAATAACATTGATAAACATTTATGAATTGTCGAACTATTTTTTGACAACGAAAGTATCATTCAATTATGTTGAATGATGGTTTTTTATGGAGAAATTGCTCTCTCGAATTGTACCAAAATAATGAAATACATGATCCCGGCACTGAAAAACTGAAAGAAAAAAAAAACATTATTTTATTAATGCAAATAAATTACAGTTATAGATTACAGATGAAATTATGTCGTAATTAATGTTTAAATCTCAGCTGTAATTTAATTGTTGTATAACGATATAAGCTCATTTGTAATCAATAGCTGTACTTTAATTACAGCTGTAATTTGTTGCAAAATAGTTTAGCGTCTAAAACTTACCTTAAAAACAAATTTCCAGTTTATATCAAAAAATCCACATGAAAATACAAATTTTACATTCATAACTTGTGATTGAAATTGCAAAACTTTACCACAAAAATCAGAATTGTGACAAAAACTGTTTACCAGTTTGTAAGCATTTTTAATCAAATTTTTCCTTTGAGTTGTGACATTTTCAGCTAGTTTGACGATAAAAAAGCATGTCGCAATTGTAACAAAACAATGAATAACCACACACATCAGTGCGCAAACTGTTGATTTGTTGATATTTGGGATCATTGCAACAGCAAATATTGAAATGCAAAGCCAGCAAAATGAACCGCCAAAATAAAAAATCATCAACGGTCCATAAACTTTGTTGTAAATTCCAATGGAGTCTGCAATTTTCAAATGAATTTCTTGCACTTTTTGGATGTATCCTGCATTTTTGGGTAAAATGTTATTCATGATGTAGCACATTTTTAAAAATCTTTGAGAAATGCCAGATATTCCTGCAACAAGATGAAAATACAGCACAAATGTGCAAATAAAAATCCACAGTGAAAAAATTTGAAGAAGAAAGTCAAGTCTAAAATGATTAGTTTCATGAAATATGCAGCAACAGGACGTAATTGTGCACACAAATGTGATTGGGAATGCAACTAAAATTTGTAAGTTCCTCTTGTTCCTATCATGATCAATATTTTCACCAATTTTCATTAAGATTTCGTCGATTTCTGATATAAGCTCTAAAATCTTTACAATTTTATGACGATTTAAAAAAATCCAAACCATTCCAAAGAAATTTCCAATATGATTGAAGAACATAAGTATTGGCAAGCTGTACTTCATAACCACAATTCCGTGAATTCCAGGATTATATTCAGATATCCAAAATGTTGAATTCACTAAGCAATTTGTCATTATTGTTAAAATAATTGAGAATATATCGCGAATTTTAACTTGCGGTTTAACTTTTATCACATCAATTGTAAATAACTGATAGCCAGAAGCTCTTGATACGAACAACAGTGGACGGAGTGATTTTATAATTTGCGATAATGACATGGTTTTGAGAGATCACTTTAAAATTTTTATGTTTATTGACATACAAAAAGTATGTATGATTTTTATAATCCAAACAATTGCAAAATCCAGCACAAAATTAAAATCTTGATATGAAAATTTTGCTCAATGAACCGACCACGACAGCTTTCTGAGTGGAAATGCGAAGAGAGGAAAAAATGGTAAATGTCAACAAGTATTTTATTTGTTTTCTTGTTCTATGTAAGTATTTGCCATTTTCACCTCGTGTGCTTAAAGAAGTCAATTAAACAAATTAATACCTGTGTATTTGTCGGTCGTTTGGATATTTATTCTAGGTATTAAAAAGCATTTGAGAGAATCTTTCAAGAATCTTTAGTTGTTAATCTCAAAATAAATCTATGTACAAAGATATTTAATGAACTAAGACATGAGCTTCACATATTACACCATTCATTTTGATTATTTAAAAAAGAAGGAAACTTAATTATTCAGTCACTCAAATGAATAGATAAAGAACGTGCTCGTTTTTATGAGCACACTTTTATTTAAGTTGGTTCTAAAATGTTGGAAGCATCATATTATATATACAAACTATATAGATAGAAATAGATCCCGAATAGTTCGAAAACATCCGAAACCCAAATATCTTAATAACCTAGTGTATTACACTGGTTACGCATCTGGTTTGATCCTCATTATTTAATAGAACCCCACGTAACCAAAATCCCATAGATGGACGATACATGTATTACGCGATTTTATTCCATGTATAGTCCATGCGTATCATCCATGGATGATACATGGAACGATATTGTCCTATGGAGATGGATGATTTCATGGACGATTTTGGGACGTTCCATGTATAGTACATTGGGTAATACAAATGTACTACTTTATGTTTTTTTATTGGATTGATGCACCTGAAAAAAATATTGCCTAAATTCGAGTTAATTAATTCATATTATTGTATATTCTTTACACTATTTACTTTATTAATTAAAAATTTACATAAATTATGCACATAAAACAAAAATTATACTACAAAAAACATAGCTGGATTTCTAAAAAGAGAGAATAAAAAAATGATTAAAATCCTGAAAATTAAAAATTAATTAAAACTATAAAATGCTTACAATGCCTATAAAGAATAGAAGGAAAGGAGAATAATAATTAAATGATTTTAAGATGTCTAAATCATCTCAAATTTTTGTAAATTTTCAATATTAAAACCTCATTTTTTACTTACCTTAATCATAACTTTATGGCTTATTTCACATACTTTACCATTATTTTCGTCAATTTATCTCTATTTAAAACATTAAACCACTATTTAAATTAATTTTTCACGTCATATTAATTTTTCTAAAACACATTTCACAATATAAACAAACAAAAAAAAATATCAAAATGTTTTTAACTGTCCGAATGACCAGATTTTTAAAATATTACTTAGATGTATTACACATGGTCTATACATGGAAGAACCATTTGTGTAGTACAAAAGTAATACACAATGTTGTATTTTGTGGAAAGTATGTACATAAATCGTCCATCGATGTCAATGGAAAATGTGTGGAATACTTTGGTTACGTGAGACTCTAACAGTCAACATATTAAATTTTTTTTAGTCATAAACTGTAGATCTAAAGGGTGGTCTTCAAAAGATTTACAATCACAGTACCTCTTCAGCGCAAAAGACTGAGCTTTAACTTGTGTAAAATCTGTGGATTATTCAATTTATTATTGAGAATTACGCAGCATGTGGTATTATTATATTTCTTTTGAACTTAATTTAAAACTTTATATATTTTATATACTGAACGGAATAAAACTGAGCATTACTTTGTATATATTTTAGTAAACTTAAAAGATTGTGGAGATTTATCTAAAAAGAAAAGAAAAAATTTAATTATGAAACAAAAGAAAGTTCAAATCTTGTTATTATTCAAATTAATTCTAATAAAGAACCTAAAGTGATGGTTCAGAAAAAATGCTAGAGACCACAAAAAATGTGTTTTAATCTCACAATTTATTAATTTTTTATTAATTTATTTTTTAAATTAAACTTTTCATTTATTTACATTTAAACCTTAATTATGTACAAAGTTTTGATTTATTTTGTTGCTTTTAGTTTTTATGGTTTCAAGCATTCAATTTGCATTATGATGTTAAATTACAGATGTAGCTTTATTATAAATTTAATTAAGGGGTGAGATTGATGAAATGATCAAAAAATGATTTTCAATAATTTGTTTTTCAGTACATGAAGTTTTTGTAGGTCGGTTTATGCCAAGAAAAACTTTTATTTTTACTTGGTTTGGACTGTCAAAATGTCTGGTTTAGTTTTCTTACTTATTACCTAAAATATTTAAGTGATTTTTCTCAAGCACATTTCTTTCTTATATCTGCTTTAACTCCTTTGAAGTTTTCTGTATAATTAAAAATTGTAACAACTTGAACCTTTCGAATGTAATTAAGATCAAAACTGTCAATAACAATCTTGTGTTGCTCGATGTATTGATCCTATTTATTTCACTCTAGAAAATATTTAATAGTAGGTGCAGTAAGAGATAGTCATTGAGCTGCGTTAAATGTCAAATTAAGTACAAGTCATTTAGCATTGAAAGATTCACAGTTAGCGTGTTTTATACAAATAAGTTTTTATTGCAATTTTTATGGAAAATTTTATACATATTTCTAATTATAAATTTTCTAGGACATTCTGCCAACCGAAGTTGCTATTTCTCAACATTTCATAGATATTACATCACATTTGCTATTTATTATTTTACGGAACTAACGATTCACATTTAATTCTCTAATTACTATCCTTTTTTGTGTCCTTCAATTAATAATTTCATTTACAGCAGTAAAAGTCATTGACACAAAGTCGCTAAATAAAATTTTACTTAAAAAATTTTCTTTTATGTTCCTTTTTATTGATTTTTTGGTCCTTTTATCTCATGCAAATCAATCAACCCACTTTAGAATATTGTCACAACATTAAGCGAATGTTCAAGTTGAGTGGGAATGAAATTTAATAGCCAATTATCATGAAAAAGAAATGTCGACGCTTTGAATTACATCGATTGGAAAATAATTTTACGTAAAACGGACATTAAGGCTGACAGGTCATATTTTGTGAATGGTTTTTTTATATTTGAATAGCATCAAATTTTTCTTAGAACTTTAACGAATTTTTTTTGTGTAAATTTGGTTATTTATATTTATACGATCAATCTCGTCTCAATACTTTGCGTGGATCCTCTCCTCCATTTAGGACCCCTTCACATAATGGCTTCACACGGAGTGTGATTACATCTTTGGGTAAAGTAATGATTAATAATTATTGAAACTTTATCTTTAAATATTTCTAATCTAGAAAAGATTTTATTGAATATAAGGCTACTTATTTAATTTAATGTGCCACTAATGTGGTTTGTAACAACGACTTCCTAATCTAACGTGTTCAAAATAAAGAGGATCATAAGGTTTTTCAATCCATAATCTTTTAAAATTGAAAATTAATCTTAAAAAAATAAAATTTCTTGTAATGCGCTATTATCTGAGATTACTACAAATATTTTACTCTACTAATTGTATAAAACGACTAACTTTGTTAATATTCTTTTGATGACTCGCACGTTTAGCAATTAATTATTTTCCACTCCTAGGAAATTGTTCTTTCAAATTGAACTAAGATTACGAAGTACATAAAGCCAGCGCTGAAGAACTGAAACGAAATTTAAAAATTAAGTTTTCATTAAAACTTCTATTTTTTTCCACTTAAAAGATCAATGGTTTTTAAAGCAAATTATACAAATTGTAATCAAATCTTATTTTTTCATAGCCGTATTTTATTGGAAATTGCGTAATACACAGGCATTACGACTTTTAAATTTTTTTGTCCAATGTATTTGCAACAAGATAAAATAAGGTCACATTTAATTTAAACTTAAACTGAAGGATCAACTGGACTCAAAATCAGTTATTTTCACAATAAAAAAAAATAAAAAAAATTGCTTACCTTAAAAACAAATTTCCAATTGATGTCGAAAAATCCGCAAGAAAAGACAAACTTAACATTCATTACTTGTGATTGAAAATGTAAAATTCTAGTTCCAAAATCCAAATTATCACTGAATGTGTTAATTAATTTGTAAGAATTTTTAATTAAATTTTTTCTTTGATTTGCAACATTTTCAGCAAGATTGACGATAAAGAATGACGTCGCAATTGTAGTAAAGCAATGAGACACGGTACAGACAAGTGTACAGATTGTTGATCTATTTGTATTCGGAAACATAGCAAGTGCAAAAATTGAAATGCAGAGCCAGCAAAATGCGTCACCAAAATAGAAAATCATTAATGGTCCATAAACTTTATTGTAAATGTCAATCGCGTCGGCAATTTTGACATGAATTTCTTGAATTTTGTACAAAGTTTTTTCACTTTGCGGTGAAATTTTCATTGTGGTTTTACAAATTTTCTCAAATCTCTGTGAAACTCCAGATACTCCGACGACTAGGTGATAATACATCACAAATGTACAAACAAAAATCCACAATGAAAACATTTTGAGCAAAAAATCCAAACGAAAATGGTCAACTTCGTGGAACATGCCACACATAAATGTTACGAATGTAGTAAGGAAGATTGGTACAATCACTAAAATTTTTAAATTCCTCTTATTTCTCTTGTGATCTATTCGTTCGCCAATTTTCATTAACTCTGCATCAATTTCCGAGAAAAGTTGGAGAATTTTCATAATCTTTGCACGATGGATGAAAATCCAAGTCATTCCAAACATATTTCCAAGAAGATTGAAGTACATAAGGATTGGTAAGCTATACTTCATTACAGCAATCCCATGAATCCCGGGATTATATCGTGAAATCCAAAATGTTACATTTATAATGCAGTTCATGCAAACTGATAGAAAAATGAGAACGAAGTCTATTAAATTGACGCGAGCTTGTCCTTTTGTTACATCAACTGTGAATAGTTGAAATCCAGTGACTCTTGAGACTATTGATAATGCTGTTACAGATTTCATTATTTTTGACAATGGCAATTTATTGTCAAAATCTTTCTGGAACCAGTAGAGTGACATCTGTGCTTGTTGTATTTGTTGTGGCATATAATAAAACTTTTAACTGTTTAATCTAGCAGAAAAATGATAAAAACAAAAAAATTCAATATTTTAAAAACAATCTATTTTAATTATATTTAAAATCATTTAAATAAAAAGACTCAAAGAAACTCAAAAATTATTGTTGCCATCAAAATATAAATATTTATCATAATTTTAAAAATTATGATAAATATTTATATTTTGATGGCAACAATAATTTTGGAGTTTCTTTGAGTCATGTTAAACAATTACTAAAATAGATCTAATTTTAATGGAAAAGCAATGGAAGTACTTTCTTTAGCCAAATACGTCGATATTTTAGTTGTAAGTTATTTAATTAATTGTTAAACATTTATTAAAAAAAATCACGATTAATAACGGTTATTTTTTGAATTATGTATATTCGAATATATATTCGAATATATGCGCACATTTATGTGCGCACATTATATTCGAATATATTCGAATACGATTCTGCCCAACCCTATAATTTTTTCTGCTAAAACTTTTCTTCAAAAAACATATAAAAATTCATTGAACTTTTTACTAAATCTCAGTCAATTAATTTTTATTATATTTTCATTTTTATTTAATTACTAAGTGATATCTTTTTGTGATAATTTTTTTAATAAACTGGGGCAAAAATACTCTTCTACTTCAAAGAACTTTGTTTTCCCAACTTATATTTGTAACTCATAAATCTTCAGAATTTACTTAAGAGTTGTTATGCTAATAACCCCAATTTTACTTGAGACTTTTTTTGGTTCATTTCAATTTTCCAATTATATTATGAAATATTTTCTAGATTCCTACATTTTACTTTTAAAGTTCCAAAATAGTTTTTAAATCTTAAGACAACTGAATTTTGAAAATTTAATTGAAAACAAATTTTATTTACACTTTTCTTTATAAAACACTGTAAAACACTCCGAAAACAAGCTGAAGCTTTTATTTTAATGCGATCCCGACGACAGTCTAAACGTAAATGAGAGTAAAGCTCTCAAGTAAATGGAAACATTTGCTCTGTTCTCCTTTTGTTTGTCAATATTGAACACATTGTGTTTTGTCTCTGTGTATATTCTGCAAATAATTATTTCTAATTAATTTATTTTTATCATAATCTTTATTGGCGTGCAGCATCTTTGGAATATTTATTATGTTTTGTTTATGTTGAGAGTGATTTGCATGTATTTTGCTGCCTTTATAAAAAAAATTATTGAATATTTAAAACACAAATTGATGTACAGATTTAATATTGAAAAAGTAAAAATTATTCTAACCCGGTCTGCTTTAAAGTGTTTAAGACGTGACTGTAAAAGAGAACGTAGACTAAAATTCTAAGAGATTTGATCAAGATAAGCTAACATTTTTTAAGATGATAACTTAGCTATTTAGTTGCGTAAACTAAAGACATGATAAAGTTCAAAAAAATCTCCACGAAACAGTACTAAATTTAGCAAATAATTTGATCATTTTCAATAAATAATCTTTAATTCTATTTAATTATTTTTATTCTCAAAAACATTTCTAAGTAAATGTAATTCTTTTAATTCTTTTTACGATTCAAATTCATGTTTTTTTTACTTTTCAATTAAAATTTTATTATATTATATTATATTTTATATATTGATTTTTCAATTTTAAATCTAATAATTTGAAACGTAATAATATAAGGATATATTAATGAATTTTGATTAAATTTTTTCGAGCCCTGATACAAAATTTATTCCATGTCTTGTGTTCAAAAATTATGTCATCTTTCAGCTTCTTCGACTATTCTTCAATAAATCTAAGTTTATATAAGATATGAAAATATGCTTACAGTATTTAACCATGCTATGGACACGTCGCAAAAACTATTATTTTTTGGTTTGAATATTAAAAAACCATTAAATTTTTATGAATATTTCTTGCAAAAACTGTCAAATACAAGGTTTAGGTAAACAATTCACATCAAGAAAATTACTAGAGCTTAAATAAATGCTTTAAATACTTAAAATTTACAAATTTTTAACGGTTTTAAAATATTTAAATGTATGTCGACTAAATTCGACCACGTTGACTTTCCTTGAAATTTCCTTAGGATGTATTTAGCCATCCGATATTTTATTTTAGAACAATAATTGTTCAAATAATACACTTATATAGTAATAAACAGGAAATGTGTAATATCCAAAAAGTATTTAATGTCTTTTCATCAATGCCTTTTTTCTTCAAATGGAGCAAAAGAAAAAAATTTTGAATAAATATAAAAAGGATAACATATTCCAATTATTTTGTCCTACGGATTTCAAAACCGGGAAAATATTTCAATCTCGTGATTATGATCGTATCAAAAGCAGGGATGAAATCGCATTTTGGATGTTAAAGATAAGACTTTTAATGTAAATTTAAAGCGTTTAGGATTAGTAAAATGTTGACTTTAAAAAACAGAATTCAAACTTTGACATTTAGTCAAAAAGTTACTTTTATCTATTTAATTATTTAATAAACTCTACAATTTTACTATTAAAGTCACACTTTTGTTAATTCACATAAAAATAATTTTGTATCGATCTTTTAAGTTTTTGTTTTAAATGTAATAAAATTTGATTTTGTATTAGCTTTTGTCGGGACGCTTCCATAATATTAATTGTTTCTATGAAAATTTTAATTGAATTCCTTTTCTGTTCATAATCAATTCAATGCATCATATTTTTGTTTTATAATGGCATTGCAACTGTAAATGATAATTTAATAATTCCAAAATGTCAACTGCTTTAAATTATTTAAACAAAAGCTTCCATGAGCAAAACTTCAAAAAAGCTTTTTATTTAAAATTCTTTTAAGACTCTCCATCTGAAAGTTTGAATTCCGACCAAATTGTATTAAAAAGGATATTTTAGTCTTGATGGAAGTTTTGAAGAAGTGACATTGGATAATTTTGTGAATTTTATTTTTTGTTTATATTTTCAAATTTTTTAATTGGATCGAATTTATCTTAACAATGGGGAATTGTTATAGTGCTAAAAAAATTGTAAAAGGTAATTAATTTATTTCTTTATTGTCGAATTAAGTTTATAATGACTAACATTTTGTCAAGTGTTGGGTTAAAGTCAAACTTAAGATTCCAATTACTTAAAATAAATTCATAAAAAATTATGAAATTTGTTTCGAAAAGAATTTAAATTAATTCTAGATGCACACATTATCATTTTGAAGATTCTGGGAAATGTACCAAAATTATCTAATCATAGTTTTAAACAAAATGCTTTATACTTCATTCCAGACCAATATTAATAGATTTTGTAATCGTTAACTCTAGAAAATAAATGAAGCACTCATGAAATGTATGAATCATAATTTTAGTTGTTTATTAAAAATATTTTGTTTATTTTAAGACTCTCCGATTTCAATCTCAGAACTCGATAATTTGAAATCCAACAAGCATATACAAATATCCGAAAATCCACAACTTAGTTACATGGAAGATTGCATGCTAGCAAATAGAGAGGATCAATATGGTGGGAAAATTTATTATGGATTTTTATCACAACAGCGAATTTTATTAAAGTTGATCGATCCGAAAGAAAAGGAATTAATGGAAAGAGAAGAAGACATGCTGTCATTGTTATCTCATGAAAATATCGCAAGAATTTTTTATCCATTGAGACTTACTGAAAAGGATATGTTTTAACGATGGAGTTTGTTGGTAAAAATATAAAAGCATTAATTCCAATTTTAAATGACTTGGAAAAGAAAGTCATCATGTATCAGTTGTCATGTGTTGTGTTTTATCTTCAAGAAAGACAAATTGCACATCTTGGATTATCTCCAAATAGTGTTTATGTCGTGGAACATTCAGGAAATTTTATTGTAAAACTAATCAACTTCCAGTATGCTCTACGATTTAATAACGACTTTGAAGCTCTTGAGGCCGAATATTTTATTGATGGATTTTCATCACCAGAAGTTATTCAAGAATTTTCAGAAAAAATTGCTTACTTGTCATCAGACATTTATTCCCTTGGTTGTCTCTTTTTCTACATCATATCCGGTGGGTTCCAAATGATACAAATTAAATATTCGGGTCAGGATGAAAAGATTTATACGAGACTGAATATGATTAAAGAAGATGAAACATTTAAGATCCTTTGCAAGGATTTGATTCAAAAAATGTTAGTTTTTGAACAAGACAAGAGAATTTGTCCTCATTTAGTTAAAAATCATCCCTGTTTCTGGGAAGCGAAAAAAATTACAGAATTTTTTATTGATACTGGAATTTCAATTGAAAAGGATGCCGATTATTTTGACTTCTTGACCAAAAATGGACAACATGTAATTGGTTCAGATTGGACTAAAAACCTTGAAAAAATTGTTCTTAAAGTCATTCGAGAAATGCGACAAAAGACTATAAAAAGTTTTTCAAATAATGATAGCCACAATTTTGAAAGTGCTGGATACTTGGTAAAGATAATTCGGAACTCTTTGGTACATCCAACTGATGACAGAATAGTTGACATTATGGGTACAACTAAGGAAGATCAGGTAAACTATTGGAATAAAAAATTCCCTTATTTACTTTGTTATTTGTATCATAGTAAATTTCAGTATGCTTAATTCAGTCAAAGCTAGTTCATGTCAAACAATATAAAGACAATAAATTCTTTTTTAATATTCCAAAACCCTTTAAATTGTTTTAAAAGTAAATAATGGTAAATAGAAAATTAAGCGGAGAATTATATATTGTAAGGAAATTTTTCATATCATTTTAATAAATCATCTTAATTAAATTAAAATTTACCAAAAATCCCTGCAAAAATCTTTTTGATTTTTGAAAACAATAATTCGCAGAAATATTTGAAGCAAAACAAAAGTTCGAAGAAATCATCAAGTCCAACCTAAATTTCCATACACACTTATGATATTTAAAAGAATATCTTTCACGTGAATGGAATTTCCTCAGCCTCACAAGCATTCGTGCTTTATATTTTTATGAGTTCTGTCCCTTTCATCAACTTAATTTGCTTTAAATTGAAAGATTAATTTGAAAAAAATCAAAAATTATTATATTAAATTCAAAAAAATTTTCTTTAGATTCTAGAATTTTATTTTTAAATTTAAAAAATTAATGTTGAGTTTTGGGTTTAAAAGCAAAATTATTTTTTTTATAGTATGAATTTAAAATGAAATTTTTGATTATAAAATTTTCTTTTAGAAAATCAAAAATTTTTTGTTTTAGAAATCTAAAATAATCAGGGACCAAAATGAATGAAAAAAATCTGTGATGAAAAACATCATTATTTTTGATGATGAAAAAAATTATAATTTTTTCATTTACGTAAATTATTACGTAAAATTTCATCACGTAAGAATCATTTTTACGCAGAATTTCATCACTTAAAGCGAAAAATTACGTATAAAATGTATCTATACAAGTTTTTTTAAGCAAAACAAATCTATTATATCTCTTGTTCTTATTATTTAGCATAATTATTTCATTTGGTGTGATTTTATATCATTTTTTGCTTAACGTGATGAAATCCTACGTAAAAATGATTCTTACGTGATGAAATTTTACGTAATAATTTACGTAAATGAAAAAAATCACAATTTTTTTCATCATCAAAAATAATGATGTTTTTCATCACAGATTTTTTTCATTCATTTTGGTCCTTGAAAATAATCCTTCGGGTTGCAGAACAAAAATTTTCTATTAGATTATTTCATACAAATCTAAAATTCAATATTAGATTTTTTCTTTGGGTGTAGTAATGAACAAAATATATCTTTAGTGATGTAGTGATGTATGTACTTCTATGGAAGGCTCCCGCAGATTATAATCTTTAATAATCTTCGTTTCTAAAAGATTATAATCTGCGAAAGCCTTGCTTTTATGCTTACTTTTAATTTAATCATTTTTAATACCAAAGTTAATATTTTTGCACAATTTTATAATTTTTATAAAAACCAGTTTAAAATCAAAATAAATCATTTTCGGCCTGTTTCACTAAAGTGGATTATCCTCGATTTTGGATTATCCACTTCAGTTTTTTGAAAATATCGCCAGACGCTTAAGGTTATTAAGAGATCTAATGTGTGATCTAGCAAGAGTACTTTGCTCCTTAAATTAACATATACTTAGAATTTTTATATCTTCATTGGTTTGAGAATTATAGCAAAAATCGAAGTTAATCTACTAGATTTGGCTAGAAAATTGAATAATTAATACTTCTTACCAACAAGTAAAAGTTTATAGTATACAGAAATTTCAGACATAGTTCACTCTATTAAAATCCAAAATTAGAAATACCACACCTCCCATAAAGTTTAAGATATTTCCAAAAAACTGAAGTGGATAATCCGAAATCGAGGATAATCCACTTTAGTGAAACAGGCCGTTTATGTTTATATTCCACACATTAGCTTTGATTTCAGGAAATATGTTTTTCAGTAGCTAGTCATTTACAAAAAAAGTGTAACAATCAAATGGTAGACAATCAAATGGTAGTATAACAATCAAATACCCAAATGGTAGAGCGTTGGCCTTCTGTGACAAAGGTCCTGGGTTCAATCCCAGGCAATGTCTAATTTTTGAAGCTCTTTTTCCATTTTCACAGCTCTAGTTACGAAGCTCGGTTCGTGTGTTTGGCGTAGTTTTGATGTCATTGGCATAGAATATGCCTCCTTTGCTAGATATACAAGGATATACTAGCATCTGGATGACTTCCTTACGGCATCTTGTGCACACGAATTGTGACTAGGTACATTGCAGGGTAAATCAGGTCTTATGACGTACTCGTGTCTTTGCAATGTGCAGAGCTTGCAAGTGGTTCGAATCCCACTATAAACTGTAGGTTTAAAGGGTGTGGTACAATAGATTCTGTTCTAATTTGAATCGCAGTGCCTCCAGCTGAAAGGCTGGGCCCTTCACACATTATTATTATTATTAACCGTCTTATGGCTGCAATTCATGAAGAATGTCGCTCGGGATAGTCTCCGATGAAATGATAGCGACACTTAGAAACAAACTCTTCACCATGTCGTTGACACACGCCTGCCATAAATTAAAGTTTCATCAGCTGATAAGGCATCGTGTTGTTTTCGTAATTTTTTATGTTTTTTTCTACTTCTTTGTTATCACGGTTATCACACACATTGCGGTGGTCAAATTGAATTTAAGTAACCTCGTTATACGCTCATAATCAATAAATTTATGAATGGAAGTTTTTTCACATACTTTATTTCTTATATGCGGTTTGATACCCTAGTAACCAAAATGTTCCATATAATCTTCCTTCGACGTCGATGGAAGATCAAATGTATCATTATTTTTTATATGGAAAATATTTGTTTTACAAACATGTATCAAAAGTGTTCCATCGAAGTATTACCCGAGCCTGCTTAGGGTCAAATCCTATGAAAAATCATCAAAAAAATATTTTTTTGCAGGAAAATAATATTTGTTCTAAATTTGGCATTTGCCATATACTTCACAATTGCTCGAAGAAATCACTATTATAAGTTCTCTCTAAATTTGTATGGGGCTTTCAATTAATTATTTATCTTCCTCAGGTCTGTGTGCGAGTCTTGGGCGTTCATCAGTATGCGACTTAATTAAATTAAGTCCTTTTTGTTCTTTTTCGTAGTGTTAGTGTACTTTAATTAAGTACACACTAATACTTTTACAATAATTTACACAAATAAATGAAAAATACGAAATAACACGTGGAATTTACCACGTGTTTTATCCAAAAAAAGTAAACCATTTGTTTTCCATTTGTATTCCTTTGATGTATTACATTGATGTCTTATTGCATTGTCCATTTATCTTCCATTTTCATAGGACATCATCTTCCGATGGATAATACATGGATAATACATATGTATCATCCATGGAAGATTCTCATGGAATACATTGATCTACCTTTTGGTTACTAGGGTAAGAATTAAGACAACTCTAAGAAATTGATTCTATTTTTGAAATTGTATTTACTCTGATGAATAGAAAAGTTCTAAGAAAATCATAGTTATCAGCTCTACTTTCTTCTACAACCAAGTGCAGAGGCGTAGCCAGAAAATTTTTAAGGGGGGGGGGCCCATTTTCGAAAATTAAAAAAATTGTTATTTTGTATCCTTAAATCTTTATTCATTCTTCATAAGTTTAAATATTTAATTCATTATTCATACATTAAATTTAATTTTTCGTGCTGATTTTGACATTTCTTTCATCACTTCGTCTACATTAACTGGTTCTTCTCTATAAATACTTAATAAAACGATTATCAGATTTTCGTAGGGGGGCCCGGGCCCCCTATGGCCCCCCCCCCTGGCTACGCCCCTGACCAAGTGTCTATGGCAACCCAGGAAATTCTTCCCTCGTCCAAGATCAAATTTTTAAAATCAAATTCGATTTGAATAACAATGATGAGATTTCAACTTCACTACTCAAACATCAATTGCTTTGCAGTGCTTTTTCATTCATATTCACACCAAATTTTCAATATAAAAAGATTCCAACATCGTTATGTGATCATAAACGGTGCAATAACAAGAAATAATGCGATCCTGATTGAAGATAGAATCTGTTGTACCATTTCATAATGATTAAACAATTTATTTTACAAACTCAAACTTGCAATAAGGTGCTCAAATATTATTTTAAAAAGAAAAAAAGAATTTAAAAAAATATCTCAGAATTGATAAAAAAAATGACGCATTTTTGCATCTACTGTTAAAATTATCTACGTCAATTCCAAGCCAAATAAAGACTGTGACAAATCTTGCATAGACACGTTAAATTCAGTTTCAAATTGATGAATCAGCGGAGTGTGTCTAAGATTCCCCGAATTTTTTTATGACTTATTTATATACGCCGAAATATATTTAAAAATAACATTTACAGTTGTAATCCTAATAGATAAATCTAAAGGTGTGAAACTAATAAATTAGATTTTGATCAATTTTGATAATTTTTGTATATGTTTGATCAGTTCAAAACCATTGAGATTAATTCTTTTTATTCTTTTGTTTTGATTGAATACAAATTCGTCAAATGAAAATTTCAAAAATTTGGATTTTATAATTTCAAAAAAATTTTTGAGCTGTTGAATGAAATAAGGTTCAAAAGGAGGATGTTATGGGTAATTGAGAAAATTGACACAAAAAATCATGAATTACTTAATCAATAAATTGACCATAAAAGTGTGAAATTAAATTTAAGTGATGATCTCTAGCTATTATATTTATGCAAAAATTCAAGCAGAACTGATTGAATTAATGGCATTATTATTGGTGCATTAAACTTTTTCCAGATCAAACACCTTCGCGCATACACACAAATTCCACTTATTTTTATATTTTCTCATTTAAAAGTGAGACGAGATTATAGATAGAGAAGGAGCGAAAACAATTTTCATTAATTATGAACACAGTCAAAGAAAAATAAACAAAATAAAAAAAGTACATAAATGTTTCTGATTTTTTTCATCAGTTGCTCATCGACTTCCTTACGATAACCATATGAAAAAAATTTAATTTAAGTGAAATAAAATAAAAAAAAATTGTTATTCAGTCAAAACAAGTAATAAAACTGTTTACTGTACTTAAAATAGAATAAAAAAGATTTTAAAATAAATTTGAAAATATTTTGAAAACACCGGAAAGCTTTGTAATCTAAAAATAGCTGATATTTATGTTACTTATTGCTTAATAAATTTAATCAATAAAAAAATAGTGGAATACAAATAAAAATTTTAAAGCAACAAAACAGACTAATATGAAGTAAGTTTACGAAACAATAAAAAATCGTTAAAAAAGTGAATTATTTGCTATGTAAGACTTTTTAAATCGCTCTTGAACACTCTTAGTTGATATGTTTACTGACCTACCTCAAACATAAATATTCAGTAATCAAATTCTTAATATTATAATAACAAATTAACTAGGAATTAAATTTATTATAGTCTAAATTAATATTATGATTTTTCAATATTAAATCAGCAAAAATATTCAAATGGAAGGTTTTTAAAATTTTACGTCAAATATTAAATAAAAAGTTCACCTTAAAATAGATTTAGTTTTGTTTCTGTAAATATATTTGAAAATTTAAAAAGTTTAATCTATTTGCTAAGAAATTGAAAATAGAGAACAAACTGATGAAAAGTTTTATTCTGATCCAGAATTTATCATGGTTAAAAATAGCGATTAACATGTTAAATTTCAAGCATTGTCACAAAATTTATTGAAAAAATTTTTTTGTTCCTTCCTATTAAATTGTGGCATAATTTGCTGACTACGAAAAGAGGAACAAAAAGAATTTAAAGTGAGTAATTAAACAGTAAGACTCGATATCTTACATAACGATTCGGTTCTAACAAGATTAATTTTCTGAAAATTCCACCGATTCCAAAACATTGATCATTTTTTTTTTTGATAACCCTAAAGATCTTATTTGACCACATAATCCTCAACACACCTCATTTCGATCATTAATAAACATAGCAAAATACTCAATATCCTGCTTGATTAATATTCTATTCATTAAGTAATCTTGAAGTTTTTGTTCATTAAGTTTTCTAAACTTCCTGAAAAGTACCAAGATTTTGACATGACAGGATTTTAACCGACGACATTCATGTAACCATTCTAAGTTTGATCAAAGTAGCCTTATAGTCTACAGTTGTACTTAACTGCTACAAAAATATTAAAATTTGGGCAGAATTGAATGATTATGAAAACGCAGACAACAGTAACTTTTGCCATCAGAAAAATGCATTAAAAATTATAAATCTAAACAAAATAATGAATATAATTTATCAAAACACAACTAACGTGGAAATATATGAACTTTCACGCTTGGCTATCGGTTACATATTATTAATAGAGTACAGAAAATAGACGAATCTTGACAGATTTACATAAAGACAGTCACTATATAAATTAAATCTATCTACGAAAACATAGTTGATTGATCGGAGTCTTAGCTTTAGAAGAAGTAATAAGCGATCTTTGTGAACGAATTAGAACGGAGTAAAGTGAAAGAAGGTTTCTTTCAAAAACATACTTTCACAGACATTGAAAAGCTCGGCATCGATCTGAATTTACAGAGACGAATCCAGGCAGGGTTATTCGAAAAACTTTTATTTAAATTGTTTACAAGACATGCAAGTTTAAATTTTGGTTACTCTTGTGAAAATTTTACAAAACCGGAAAATCTCAGTTTTGATTTATTGATTGATTAAGTTTTATTATTATTTTAATTTGAAGTGGTGCACAAAAAATTTCAGAACTAGAAATACTTTATTTGAAGTTTTAAAGCCATAAATGTCGTCCAATTCTAAAAGTTCCAATCCAGCTATCTAGTACAAACTTTTTGAAAAGAGTCCTTGATGCTCTAAAAAAAAGGTGTGTTCTGAGCGAAACCAATGATTTGCACGCTCTTGAGTAGAAGTTAAAATGGATCTCATAAACCATTTAGTCATTCTAATTTCCATTTATTTATTTTATGTTAACAATTATCAGTCGCGTGAATCTTATAATAATTTTATGTGACTCATTAGCAATATGAAGCTTATGAACATTAGACCTTATCAGACTTATCGAAAATTCACAGCTTAACTTCATTGACGCACTTCATATTTGACGCGAACCGTTGATTCATTTCTTATTTGTATTATAAACCATTGTTTGATACATCTTTCCAGGAAGATAAATCAATTAGTATAAAATTTGATTCCATTACACAATTGTTGTCATGATGTCTGTGATTTATTTTCACATCTAATTGGTCCAAAAATATTTGACTCTTGTCATGAAAAATATTTAATCAGATAAAAAAAGTTGTTTTTTAAAGTTAATGAGTCAACTACAGTTGCTTAAGTTGTTTTTCACAAGATCTTACAAATTTTATATGAGATAAGACACTTGACACTTTCATTATGCCACGCGACGTAATTCGCATTCTATTTGCGATTTGATAATTTTCATGTTTAATGCGAATAACCAGATGGGGTTTTATTGCAGCTTCGAGAACAAAATTTGTGTCAATTTTGGAATTCTTCATTTTCCATTATTTAAGGCTTTTTGTGATCTAAACTGTGAATAGGCTTAATGGTCCAAGGAGTATTAGAAACTTCTGAACCATTTCTCGAATTAATAAATTAAGATTATTTTATATAAGGTTGTATTTTTATCATAACTATAGGTATTATAGTTTTTTACAATTCAAAAAATTTAAAGAATCAATCAAGAGGTTGCGCGAGCATCCAGTGTTTTATAAAGGATAAAATAATATAAAAAAAAACATTTAACTTTATACAAAGAACTGGCACAATTTCTCCAAAACTCAAAGCTTTTATTTTTTTTTCTCAATCTTTCTAGGTTCGCAAAAATCACAGCATTTTTAATTTTATTTATTAAAATAAATATTTCAAAATCACACGTAATTCAAGCATCAGTTGTTCCAACACATCAAGCATCACATGTCAAAGGAGATATTTGGGTACATTTATGGAAGGAATTTGGAGTAAATTTAACGACCTTTTTTGTTCGTCGAAAAACTGTAATAAATAATTTAAGTTTTGAAATATCTACAATAAGAAGCTTAGAAGTCTCAGGATTTACAATAAAAGACTCAAAAACAATCAGTTTCTTACCAGTGAAAGTAAGCGAAGTTTTTCCAAATTTATTGATTTACGAAGCAAATAATTGTGCAATAAATAAATTATTGAAGCCAAATTTTGAAAACTTAAAGAAACTTCGAGTCCTAGATCTTCAACATAATCAAATCTCATCATTTTCGGAGGATACGTTTGATGACCTTCAAATGCTTATTCATTTAGACTTAGCAAACAATAAACTTCATGACATTGAGGAAAACTCATTTAAAAATCTTCATGTTTTAAGAAATTTGTATTTAGGATTTAACGAGATAAAGCACTTACCTTTAAATGTCTTCAAGCCACTCAAGGAACTTCGCAAAGTCGCACTTCCATCAAATAAAATTCGTAAAATATTTAATAATCATTTTTCAAGCAATAAAAAATTAACAAATGTTTGGCTCAATGAAAATTCTTTACAATGCATGGATGATGAAGTCTTTAATGACATGAATAGACTAAAATTTGTTTATTTAGAAGGTAATACATGTATCGATAAAGACTATCGTGATAAATATTTGAAGAATATTGAACATGATATTTCGAGAAATTGTAAACAATGTTAATAAAAATTTATTTTAAAAATATTTAAAGAATCGGCTTTACATGATCTTTTTACAGGGTAACCAATAATGCCAAATTACTAAAATTTTCTTTTTTACTAGTGACTAGGTATTTCTTAACAAAACGAAGTACATGCTATTCCACAATAAAAAAAGTTCGATAACTTCACTAAAAATGCATTAAATACTCAATTTAATATTAGATTTAATCAGAGTTGCGACGACAGGTACCTGTCACAGGTAAAGGTGACAGTTTCTGTCAAAAGATCACCTGTCACAGGTCGTTACCTGTTCACAGGTCAATTTTTTCCACCTGTCACAGCTCTGACCTGTCGCAGGCCTCACCTGTGACAGGTTGTCACCTGTTGACAGGTAGAAGACCTGTCACCTGTCACCTGTCACCTTTGACTATCGAAATTTTTTTCTTCTAGTGAAGTATAAAGATTTCATACAAAATTCATCAATTTTTTTGCTTCCTCAAGTCACGAGTTCAAATCTCACCGCAAGCAACTTTCTTTTTTTGCATTTTTATGATTTGTTTTTAAACTTTTTTGATATTACATTAAGTTTTATGACAAAGTTTTCCATTTTCATATTTTATTTCTTCACTTTCTATATTTTAAAATGTATTTTAAATTTTTTTCATATTTTTTCATACAAATTCAACTTTTTTTGTCATATTTTAGTTTACTAAGCTGAAATCTGACACAAAGGCTCTTTTCCTAGATCTGGATGTTCTAAAATCGTAATCTTGGATCATAAAATGGGACAAAATATTAAAACTAGTATAGACTTTGTCATTCGAGACTGCAAAAAGTCGAAATATATAATAAATTATAATCCAAGATTACGATTTAAGAACATCCAGATCTAGGAAAAGTGCCTTTGTGTCAGATTTCAGCTTGGTAAACTAAAATATGACAAAAAAAATTGAATTTGTATGAAAATATATGGAAAAAAGTTAAAATACATGTTAAAATATAGAAAGTGAAGAAATAAAATATGAAAATGGAAAACTTTGTCATAAAACTTAATGTAATATCAAAAAAGTTTAAAAACAAATCATAAAAATGCAAAAAAAGAAAGTTGCTTGCGGTGAGATTTGAACTCGTGACTTGAGGAAGCAAAAAAATTGATGAATTTTGTATGAAATCTTTATACCTCACTAGAAGAAAAAAATTTCGATAGTCAAAGGTGACAGGTCGACCTGTGACAGGTAGATTTTTTCTACCTGTCAACAGGTGACGACCTATCACAGGTGAGGCCTGCGCCAGGTCAGAGCTGTGACAGGTGGAAAAAATTGACCTGTGAACAGGTAACGTCCTGTGACAGGCAGAACCTTTGACAGGTCAGACCTGTGACAGGCGAAAAAAATTGACCTGTGACAGGCAGAACCTTTGACAGGTCAGACCTGTGATAGGCAAAAAAATTTGACCTGTGAACAGGTAACGGCCTGTGAGCGATAAAACCGCAATAGCTTTTTATTATGCACATGTTTAATCACGACTTATGTTTATGAATGTTTTGTGGTCAGCAACAGCGCAGTACAACTTAAACTCGCTTGAAATTGCCCAAAGAAAGTCCTTAAGAATCCTTTTTAACAAAAACTGGCTCTGCAGCAGATCAAAATTGTATAGCATAAAAATTCTTCCAGTCACTACGATATGTCAGAAAAGCATACACCTTCATGACTTTAAAATTATGTCGAACATGCTTAAAACAGTGTCAATATTCAAATCGAACTATCCAACAAGACAGAGAGAAAATTATATCATTCTAGTTACTATTATTTATTTGTCGACGTTACCGTCCGGAAGAATTAGTATTTATACATGTTTTACTTTTTACATTGATTAGTGATACATTTCATATCACTATGGTGACGTAGAATCAAGCTTCTAATTTTCAAATCTAGGTTTCAAATAAACTAAGGCTCTCGTTTCAATCTTCTGTGGGCGTGACGTGATACATTTCAGGTCCGTTCTGACAATATTCCATTATAAGGTAATCTTGTAGCTCTCGTTCCTATTTCTCCCGCTACACTTCAAGTTCCTGACCCGTTCCTTAATCCAACGTTGCCCAAAATGCCCAACTATGGCTTGACTCGTACATTAAGCAGTCGAAGTATCTAAACTTCTGAAAAAGAACAAATTTGGAAATGGCTGGATTCGAACCGACGACCTTCGAGTTACCATACCAAATTTGAGCCAAGCGCCTTACCTATTCGACCAGCAAGGCACTTAACTGCTTACTCGTATCCAATTAGAAAGTCAATCTTTTTTTTTTCATTAGAAAGCTATTATTTTCAGGGGGATCCACTTTGTATTGGAAAAAAAAATTGTCGAAAAATGAAATTTTCGCAATACTTCCTTCCGATGCAGTTTAGGACCGAAATTTTGATTGGAACTGATGAGAACCATGATTTAAGACCTTTTGACATCCAAAAATTTTTACTTTGATGCTTCAGTTCCTTTAAATTTGACTTTTTCAATTTCGTTTGTGGAGTCCTTGGAAATTTCATCAGAGTAAACATTTTTTGGGTTTTTTTTCATAGCAATTTTTGCTCTGTACCCCCCCCCCCCTGATTATTTTACAATTCTCTCGAGCAGTTAAAAAATTTTTAAATATTAAGTCATGCTTTGGGATATCCAACATATTTTTTTAATCATATATTTATTCAATTTCAGATTCGTCCTCCATAAACTGCAATAATAATAAGTTATATATATATATATACTGCATTAAAATAAATTATACCAAAATATCTTAATTAAGGTAAAATCACATTTGAAAACACAATTTTCTTGGAAGAACAAAAACTTTCCCATGATAAAGAGAAATTCCAAAGCTTCGAAGTGCACACGTAAAATTGATTGATTGATAGTCAAGAATCGCATATCTCACTTCCTCATCATAATATTGTTATTTATCTGATTGATGGACTTTAGTTGATAAGACAATTTATTTTGTCTATAAAAACTCTATCAATTCGTTGAATTATTTTAGTCAACATTTGTAGATTGAAAATGTTTCGGTTCATTGTTGTCTGTTGTGCTGTGGCTATTATTGCAGCAAATGGAGCAAGTAAGTTGATTTTTGTACTGAATGATAAAAGTTTTATTAATAATTATATAAATATTGATTGGAAGGAATTAAAAGTGATATTGCAGTTATTTATACAGTTCGTCAAGAATCCGAAATAAAATGCAAAAGTGCTACAAAGAACATTGGAGTTTCATCGTGTGATGATTTATTCAAAATAGATGACAATGTCAAAGGTTCTGTGAATTTTCAATGATATTAATAAACATTTTTAGATGCACAAGAACTCATATTCCATTGTTTGCATTTTGCTCATCATTATCAGGGTGGATTTTTGAATTATAACAATACAATTTACAATTGTTCTTCGATCAACAATCCTTAAATTCAATTAAACAAAAGCTTAATATTGAAATGTTATTAATGTTAAATATTTTATATAATTACTATAAATGATTCTGTTATAATTTTAGATATCCCAGATGCTGCACCAAGCCAGTGGGAAGGTATAAAAAATAAATAAAGAAACTTTAACTTATAAAATTTATTATCAATTATACTTAAACATTTTAGGTCGAATTGTTGGAGGATCGACAGGTTGAATCGCTGTTTGCGAAATTAGAACTTTTTAATAAATGCATGGTCTTGATAATTTCAGCTTTTATGGGCCAGTTTCCATATCAAGTTTCATTGCGATCAATGCAAAATTCTCACTTCTGTGGTGGATTTATAATCAACAATAGGTGGCTCGGATCTGCTGGTAATTTTAATAATGCTAAATCTTAATTAAAGCCATTGCTTAAAGTTGTTTAAAACTCAAAATTTTAAATGATTCTAATTTTTAAAAAATGTATACTTTCAGCTCACTGCACAGCTCCACGAACAGTCAGCAACACACGTGCCGTAGTAGGAGCAATTCATCGATCAACTGGTGGTGTGACTCATAATCTTGCTAGATTCATCAATCATCCAAATTATCAAGCACAAACACTTGCTAATGATGTCTCATTGATACAAACTATTAATTCAATTGTTTTTAACAACATGGCTGCTCCTGTTGCTTTAGGCAGTCATTTTGTTGGTGGAGGTGCTAATGCTGTAGCTACTGGATTCGGACAGGTTTAAAATTTTGTAAATTTAAATTGATAAAATACATAAAAACAATTTCTCAAAACAAAGACTGGACGAAATAATCCAAGTTCAACTGGATTGATGTGGGTAGGCTTGAGAACAATAACAAATGACGAATGCAGACAGAAGTTTTCCTCAGCGAATGCACAAAGAATTCTTGATAGTATCATTTGTACTTTTACCAGAGTTGGACAAGGGTAAGTTATGCTCAAATTATTACACAATTTATAATTAAACCACAACATTTTAATGCAATTTTTTAGAACCTGCATGGGAGATAGGTAAGAAAATGCAAAAAAAAAATTATTGGAAAAATATTGCAACTAAGTTTTCAATAATTTAATAATTAGTGGAGGACCACTCGTTTCAAACGGGAATGTTATCGGAATTGTTTCATGGGGAATTCCATGTGCAAGTGGCTCTCCTGATGTTTACACTCGAGTTAGCTTCTACCGAACATGGATGATGAGTCAGATGGCATAACTTCAACAGCAATACTAATCAGTTTTAAAAATATTTTTTTTATTTTATATTGCATGGGGCTTTATAAATATTTGTAGATAGTCATGGTTCTGGTTGCTTTAATTATTTGTAGATTTTTGGATTTATTACAATTTATGAATTCTCAGAATTAAAAAAATTATTAAAAACAACTAACGAATCAAAATGTTTTTTTTATTAATTTTTAAAAGCTCAAAACCAAAATCAGATAGCATTAACTTATGATAAAATTCGGTACAAAAACTGTTCAATGCCACAAAGATCTTGATATTTATAATTTCAGTATTTTTTTTTATCGACGCTTCATCATCTTGAACTTAAGAGTTGTTTAATTTAATACAAATGTCCATTTGCATTTTCTCTGATTCGCATGCATCGATTGAGATATCTTTAAAAAAAACAAACAAAATTTTTATGACAATCTGTTTTTTTTTCAAAAACTCAATAACACTTTGAAATGAATCAAACTAGACATTTCCTGGGATCCATTTAGGGTCTTTAGAGTTGGTTGACCAACACTATAACCACTACGCCATTGCTGCTTACAGTTTGACACAAGTTTTGATGGTGACATGATTCAATAATAAAATTTTTATTATTTAAGAATTATTTCATGTTTAGCATTAAGATAAACTTATCCAATGAAATGGAGATAAATTTCTGTAACTTAAACAAATAATGCAATCCAAAAGTCTTTTTTTCGATATTCTCAGTCATGGAATCTCATATTTAAAAACAATTGTGATTTTTAATGGAATATCAGTTTAATTTTACCTTCATTTTTACAATTCAATTGTATACATTTTTCAAGTAGTTCTGATTCTTTTAAACAAATTGAATTCTCTCGAAAAAGTTGAGCAATTTTCTCTTTTTCCTTAGCTGCACTTATGCCGATTGTTAAAATAATACAAACTAAAATAAATCGAATTGATCCATCCATGATTTAAATGATGAACTGCAACACAGATAATTTTTGTTGATATTAACTATTGAACGAGCTAAAGAAAACTAAAGACTTAAACAAGGTTTTCTAAAAATTTATTGAATATTTAATAGGGTAAACCATGTTGAAATTTGTGTGTTTTTGCACATGAAGATTTGATTTGCAAATAACTTGCTAATGACTGATCATGTTCATTTGCTAATGGGCTAAAAAGATCAATAATTGTGGAAATTTTCAGTTAATAATGTTTTTTAAAGGTTAGAAGGGAAGAGATTTTTGACATTTTCGATCAAATGTTGAAATTTGTGCGGAAAATTTTAAAATTCGCACAAATTTTAACATTTACAATCAAGAAATTTTAAAATCAATTTTTAAAGCACTTCCAATGATTTTTATAACTTGAATTTTTTTGAAAATTCATTTTGATTTGATTACAAGCAGCACTGGTTATGTCCAAATATTTATAAATAAGAAAATCACAATTTTGTATAGGATTTTGAATTTTTAAAATTTAAAGCTTCTCCCAGCTTCGAGACTGTCCAAAATGATGTAGAAATGTTTGTACAACTGTTTTACAGAGAACTGCAAACAAAATTTTGGTTTAAATGGCTTATTTGGGCTTATTTCTTTTTTATTTGAGCGCACAAATTTCAACATTGCATAAATTTTAACATGGTTTACCCTACATTGATTATGAGCAAATCCGCAAAAAGCATGAACTGGGAAGAATCAAATGGCAATATAACTATTTTTCAAAGCGTTTTATTGTTCGCGGATTTGCCTTCTTATGTGTTATCTAATAAATGTTTCAAAAATTTTTAAAATTGTTAAAAGATTGCTGCTTTATATTTTGGTATGTAGCATAAATTTATTTCTCTTTTTTTTCATTTTAATTGCACTTTATTGCATTTATTGACGACATACTGTCCGGTAATAATTCACATTTTACACTTTTGTATTTGTATACATATGAATTAGTATTATGTAGGATCAAACTTCTAATCTTCCAATCTAGGTTTCAAATAAATTAAGGCTCTCGTTTCGATCTTCTGTAGGCTTGACGTGATACTTTTCAGGTCCGTTCTAACAACATTTCATTCGTGGGTAATCTTGTAGCTCTCGTTCCCTTTTCTCCCGCTACACTTCAAGTCCCTGACCCGTTCCTTAATCCAACGTTGCCCAAATGCCCAATTATGGCTTGATCTCGTACATTAAGCAGTCGAAGTATCTAAACTTCCGAAAAAGAACAAATTTGGAAATGGCTGGATTCGAACCGACGACCTTCAAGTTACAATCCCAAATTTGAGCCAAGCGCCTTACCAATTCGACCAGCAAGGCACTTAACTGCTGTTAAGTCTCTGTTATAAATCAATTGAGGAAATCATAATTTCAATTTCAATCTATGTATTGTTTGAGAGATCCGTCTCTGGTGGGAATCGAACTAATGTCCTTACAAGAGAATTTTACAGATATCCGCAGTGAACAATTTTTATAGTGGGATCCGAACCACTTGCAAGCTCTGCACATTGCAAAAACATGATGAGTGCGTCGTAAGAACTAATTTACCCTGCAATGTACCTAGTCACAATTCGAGTGCACAAGATGCTGCAAGGAAGTCATCCAGATGCTAGTATATCTTTGTATTCTTAGCAAAGCAAAGGAGGCATATTCTGTGCCAAAGACAAATACACCCAACACAAGAACCGAGCTTCGTAACTAGATCGGTGAAATTGAAAAAGAGCTTCGAAAATTAGGCATGGCCTGGGATTGAAATCAGGACCTTTGAAACGGAAGGCCAACTCTACCATTTAGACCATTGATGCCATTTCACCGCTTTTTTAAGTTAACGTTCAAAACATATCTTTTTATATTTTTCTTGTACAACAATCTACCAAATCTTTCCTAAAATTAAAGAAAAATTAATCATCCAAAGAATCGACAATAAAAAAGTTCCTATGTGCTACCGTTGTTGAGAGTTCATCCAAAGTAAACATATACATAAGTGTGCTGTCTTATAAGAAATTATCAGAGGTCGAAGCGAACATAGCGAATATGGTTCGCTAAGGCGAATAGAAAAAAATTTTTCTCGCTACAGTTCGACTTTGGCAAGTTGAATTTTTAAGGCAAGTTTTGGCAAGTTGGAAATTATATAAAAAAACTTTGCATATAATACTGGATGTTCGCCTGATGCATCTGCAACCAATTAACAATATTGATTCATAATTTTCTTATTTTATATGCAGAATACATTCTTGTACCAATATTAAAACCAAACCAACACTAAGATTGATCATTAATGACGGCTATCGTTTAACCTTACTGGCTCATCTCCTTTTTCTTTAAATCTTTGTGTTAAATCATTTTTAAATTTTTAAAAATCTTCTATAAATGTTAAATGATATATATTATCAAGACAAAAAAAATATATTTTAAATGCTGTTGTTTACGTAAAAAAAATACTTTATAAAAAAAAACTTTTTAAAAAACTACGTTTTTCGCGTAGACTAAAAAGTAGAAAATAACTTTTATTCTTGGTTGTAAAGAATTTGGTTTTAAATTTTTAGATTATATTTAATAAATTTTTATATCCTAGTCAATATTGTTCACAAAGTTTCGAATAAGTGCACTTTGATCTTATCGTATAACTCAACAACTTAAAAACGTGGGCGCATTATAAGAGGAGAAATAAGTTTATGTGAAATCAATACTTTATGATAAACTTAAATTAATGCGCCCACGTTTTTAAGTTGTTAAGTTATACGATAAGATCAAAGTGCACTTATTCGAAACTTTGTGAACAATATTGACTAGGATATAAAAATTTATTAAATATAATCTAAAAATTTAAAACCAAATTCTTTACAACCAAGAATAAAAGTTATTTTCTACTTTTTAGTCTACGCGAAAAACGTAGTTTTTTAAAAAGTTTTTTTTTATAAAGTATTTTATTTTCTACTTTTTAGTCTTATTCTAATGAAATAGAGAAATAAAGATTAAAGGGGGTTTATAGGTTACAGGTGTGTTGAACTCCACTTCGTTGCACTTCGTTACGTTCAACTGTTTATAGATTACAGTAGGTTTATAGGTTACAGGTGTGTTGAACTTCACTTCGTTGCACTTCGTTACGTTCAACTGTTTATAGATTACAGTAGGTTTATAGGTTACACGTGTGTTGAACTTCACTTCGTTGCACTTCGTTACGTTCAACTGTTTATAGATTACAGTAGGTTCATAGGTTACAGGTGTGTTGAACTCCATTTCGTTGCGCTTCGTTACGTTCAACTGTTTATAGATTAGAGTAGGTTTATAGGTTACAGGTGTGTTGAACTTCACTTCGTTGCACTTCGTTACGTTCAACTGTTTATAGATCACAGGAGGTTTATAGGTTACAGGTGTGTTGAACTTCACTTCGTTGCACTTCGTTACGTTCAACTGTTTATAGATTACAGTAGGTTTATAGGTTACAGGTGTGTTGAACTTCACTTCGTTGCACTTCGTTACGTTCAACTGTTTATAGATTACAGTAGGTTCATAGGTTACAGGTGTGTTGAACTCCATTTCGTTGCACTTCGTTACGTTCAACTGTTTATAGATTACATTAGGTTTATAGGTTACAGGTGTGTTGAACTTCACTTCGTTGCACTTCGTTACGTTCAACTGTTTATAGATTACAGTAGGTTCATAGGTTACAGGTGTGTTGAACTTCACTTCGTTGCACTTCGTTACGTTCAACTGTTTATAGATTACAGTAGGTTTATAGGTTACAGGTGTGTTGAACTTCACTTCGTTGCACTTCGTTACGTTCAACTGTTTATAGATCACAGTAGGTTTATAGGTTACAGGTGTGTTGAACTCCACTTCGTTGCACTTCGTTACGTTCAACTGTTTATAGATTACATTAGGTTTATAGGTTACAGGTGTGTTGAACTTCACTTCGTTGCACTTCGTTACGTTCAACTGTTTATAGATTACAGTAGGTTTATAGGTTACAGGTGTGTTGAACTTCACTTCGTTGCACTTCGTTACGTTCAACTGTTTATAGATCACAGTAGGTTTATAGGTTACAGGTGTGTTGAACTCCACTTCGTTGCACTTCGTTACGTTCAACTGTTTATAGATCACAGTAGGTTTATAGGTTACAGGTGTGTTGAACTTCACTTCGTTGCACTTCGTTACGTTCAACAGTTTATAGATCACAGTAGGTTTATAGGTTACAGGTGTGTTGAACTTCACTTCGTTGCACTTCGTTACGTTCAACTGTTTATAGATTACAGTAGGTTCATAGGTTACAGGTGTGTTGAACTTCACTTCGTTGCACTTCGTTACGTTCAACTGTTTATAGATTACAGTAGGTTTATAGGTTACAGGTGTGTTGAACTTCACTTCGTTGCACTTCGTTACGTTCAACTGTTTATAGATCACAGTAGGTTTATAGGTTACAGGTGTGTTGAACTCCACTTCGTTGCACTTCGTTACGTTCAACTGTTTATAGATTACATTAGGTTTATAGGTTACAGGTGTGTTGAACTTCACTTCGTTGCACTTCGTTACGTTCAACTGTTTATAGATCACAGTAGGTTTATAGGTTACAGGTGTGTTGAACTTCACTTCGTTGCACTTCGTTACGTTCAACTGTTTATAGATTACAGTAGGTTTATAGGTTACAGGTGTGTTGAACTTCACTTCGTTGCACTTCGTTACGTTCAACTGTTTATAGATTACAGTAGGTTTATAGGTTACAGGTGTGTTGAACTTCACTTCGTTGCACTTCGTTACGTTCAACTGTTTATAGATTACAGTAGGTTTATAGGTTACAGGTGTGTTGAACTCCACTTCGTTGCACTGCGTTACGTTCAACTGTTTATAGATTACAGTAGGTTTATAGGTTACAGGTGTGTTGAACTCCACTTCGTTGCACTTCGTTACGTTCAACTGTTTATAGATCACAGTAGGTTTATAGGTTACAGGTGTGTTGAACTTCACTTCGTTGCACTTCGTTACGTTCAACTGTTTATAGATTACAGTAGGTTTATAGGTTACAGGTGTGTTGAACTCCACTTCGTTGCACTTCGTTACGTTCAACTGTTTATAGATCACAGTAGGTTTATAGGTTACAGGTGTGTTGAACTTCACTTCGTTGCACTTCGTTACGTTCAACTGTTTATAGATTACAGTAGGTTTATAGGTTACAGGTGTGTTGAACTCCACTTCGTTGCACTGCGTTACGTTCAACTGTTTATAGATTACAGTAGGCTTATAGGTTACAGGTGTGTTGCACTTCGTTACGTTCAACTGTTTATAAATTACCAGTTTTCAATGGGAAATTAGTAACGACTTTCAAAATTTTTCATTCGTTTTATAAAATTTAATTTTTTTAAAGCATTCATTAGTAAAGTACATTAAAAATCACTCGTAAAGATTTTGTGTTTATCTGTACCATTTCTACTTCATAACGTGTGGATTCTTAACATAAAGATGCAAATCACATATGTAACGTATTTATAACGGATTTTCAAATTTAAATTCAATGAATATCATTTATATGTTATGCAAAAATACGTCAAACCGTTAATAAAAAGAAAAGTCAATTTAATTAAGTTGGTGAAGTGTTATAAATAATGCAATACATTTAAAACAGCATAAATTTATGCTCAAACTATGTGTGCTAAATGCACATCGTATATTAATAGTTATTTTGCATTAATTCGTAACGGACTTGTGCTTAACGGTTTTTTAGAAAATTCAAATTTTCACTTACGAATATTCATGAAAAAATTACATGTCAATTTTTTTGTCTTACCAGAATATCTTTAGCTGCTCAAATTTATGGTATAATTAATAATTAGTAATATTAATTAAACTATAATGAATCATATAAATGACTTTAGAGCATCACAAGTATAATATTTAATACGAATCAAAATTTTATATCATTGACATTGGATTTTTTCCCATATAAAAAAGTTTTACATAAATTGTACTATAATTAAGCATTTTTGTGTTTCCTAAGTGTTAAAATATTGTATTGTCACCGGGAATACATGTGCAATAAAAATTTGAGCTCGATTGGAGCAGTAGAAGTGGTCGAAAAATTGATCGCAAGATTTGAAATTTTTTGCAAACAAACAAACAAACAAACAAACAAACAAACAAACAAGAAAGCAAGTTAAGAAAAACGTAGTAATATAGTCTAAATTACATTTTGAACCATCTTATTAATATTATTATAATCGATATTTAAAAATTCTAAATGGTAGCACACAATTGCATTAGATCAATGTAAATTCAGAAATAAAAATTCAAAAAATACAATAACGACAAAAAATTTTTTGAAGCACAATTTCGAAAATCAAACATCGAAAATTCTCTCAATTTTTAAAAATCAATTTTTCCTCACTCTTTCCCCTTAAAAATTTACTACAACTCGAATGAAACAGAGTAAAAATTTATATTTCCATCTCTGTTTGGCTACCGCAAATGATAAAGCATTAAACACCAACTCACAATTTTTTGTACAGTTGAGAGAAGCATCGCATTGAAGAAGGAGCCTCAACGAACAGCAAAGCGAATAAAAAGTCGGGAGAGAATTAAAAAAAACTCTGAAGATTTTTTAAAATTAAAATTTTTCTTCTTTTAAAATTGAAATGTTCCTCAATTTCTTGTAGTTTTGTGAATATAGCTGTGTGGTTGTATAATTTGTGTATAAGATATTAAAAATATCTCAGAATATTGTTTAAAACACAAACGTAAAGCAACAAATTTTCCATAACTAAGAGAAAAAAAAATCTCTTAAAAAAACATTTTTTTTTTCATAGTAATATATTGTGTCAGAAAATTAAAGAAATTTCAAAATAAATTCATATAAATCGTCACAAATTCGCTTAGAACCTCCAAAAAAAACTTCACAAGGTGAGTCAGACGAAAATTTTCATTGGAAAAAAAACTTTGCCTTCAAATTGACCTCAAGAAAAAACAATAATTTCGACTAACAATATTTTCAGAAAATCCGGTCAAAAGTTGACTAAAAATTAAAATTTATATGCAAGGCTCTCTTGTCATTTAAGCCTATGAATTAGAATTTTTGATTCCCCTCTACGGATAAACATGTCTGCTTCAAGATTCTTTGTCTATTCATAAATGACTAGATGATTTGTTGTTGTAATCAAATCTCTTTCGTCATTCAGTAAATTTCTGTCCTCTTTTTGATGAAAAGAACAAAAAGAAGACGATGATTTTTTTTCAGAAAATATTCTCAGAGGGGAAAAGAGTTTCAGATTGTGAGAGAACCTTAAAATGTGCTTGACTGTTTGAGCGAGACGAACATAGTCGCAATACTCACGAGGATAGAAAATTTAATAAAAATAAAAGTTGTAACCACAAAGAATATGCTCGATAACATTGTTTGAATGGTTATCAAATGATAGTTGTGGAATATTGGCATTATTAGCTTTACATTAGTCGGCTGTTGAATGCTGATTAAGAATATTATTATATTTAAAATTGAAAGATCTAATTTTTGCGGATATACTTTTGCGCTTTGGATTCGGAATCTATTTTGAGAATTTTTTCTACGAAAAATGCGTCATTTTTGATTTTTATTACCTCTTGGCACTGATGTTTGATGTTGTTGATATTGTTTATTTTTTAAAAAGAATCTACTGAACTTTTAAGATATTAGTAAAGTTGATATTGAGTATTATTCCCGATTTACTAAGTGTATGTAATGCAGAGATGCTAATACTTATTATTTTTATAGCTTTTAAGATAAAAATTAACTATAATATGTATCTCAATCCTATGAAGCACTGGCGCTACCGGCAGGATAGCGCTACTATACCGATCCCAAGCGTGCATCAGCTTTTGAGATTCATGTTTCATTGATATTTTATGTTTGATTTGGTCCGATCTGTTAAAATAAATTTTAGAGAATCTAATTTCAAAGACAAGTTTTAAAGTCGGCCCAACTTTTTAAACTCATAACGTTGCATTATACCGGCTGCCTTAAAACTTACTTAAATGTAAGATTTTTGTCAAGAATGACTGGTTTCTGTAACTTCCACAGAATCGAGCTCGTTGTTGAAATCCTTTTGTTTATTTATAATTCGTTGAATTATGATTATTTACATTCTTTTTGAAACTATATGTATTAAAAATGAAGCTCACAGCCTTCCTTTGTAGACTATTTGGCAGAAAAGTAATCAATGGAAAGGTTCAGATTCCACTTTAAACTGTAGGTCTAGGTTTGATGAATTTTGAATCCGTATTTTTTTTTTGAAAATTGAATAATGTTTCATTAAAACAATGGAAAGAGTAAAAACATGAGGGTAAATATTTAATTCAATTGTTAATTTGATGCTACACACATAAAAAATCATAATTTTATGAAAAAATTCCAACTTTTATGTTTTCATAAACTCTTATTAAATTTCAATGTTTAATAAATTTTATGCAAAATATTTCAATATAGAAGCTTCATGTTTAAAATATATACAAACATTGATATTAGATTTCAAGTGCTTGTTACTAAGAATTTAAACCAATCTAGAGTATGTATTTGTGAACGAAGTAAAATAAATGTTTATAAATTTATATTGACTGTATTTCGGACGAAAAATTGCATTTTTTTAAAACTCTTTGAAGTATGAAAAAAAAACTTATTGAAAAAGAAATTTTACTCAAATTTTTTGAATTGAGCAAAGTTTGAGCTGTGCGATCAAAATTTGTAGTTTTATAGACAAAATCTGCTGTTGAAAATAAAGTGATTCGGAGGTTTAGTACAGCGGTACTTACTTATTGCAATACCTTCACATCGAGCACGAGTTCGAGACTAGGCATCAGAAATTTTTCGTTTTTTTCTTTTTTAAAACATATGTATTGGAAATGAAACTCACAATTACGTCCGATTACGCAGCCCGCACCCCGTCCCCCCCTTCCCTCCCGTCATCGTCCTCTTCAAATTCTTGGCTATGCCCTTGATGAATCGAGAAAGAAAATTTCATTGCAATCGATAAAGTTTGATGCTCATGTAACTGCAATTTACTTTTTGCACTCATTCTCTCGCCATATTTGTTATCGTAGCATAGTCGTTCTCTTTTCTTCTCTCGCTTGCAGATGAGTCATTTTTTACTCAAGATTTATAAATGTAAGTTTAAGTCAGAAAAGCGAATGCTGATACTGAACGAATCAGCTGATTTTAGTTTTTTAAAAGCCAAGTTCTTGTTGATGCGATAATTTTAAAACGTTTTTACGGAATTCAGCAAAAATATCGTATTGACGTTGATTGATTTGAGGTTGCTTGTGTAAAATATATCAATTCATATATTTTGTTCCAATTAAAATTTGAATGATTATCTAATTTGGGAATTTATTTTAATACACAAAAAACCTAAAATGGTTAAAAGCTTAAATATTTTTATATTAAAAAGTTTAAAAATAAATATGATAATGAACTCAAAATATTACAAATCTAATAACATTTTTCAAAATTTTGTCAAATATTTCAGATTTAAATTAAAAAAGCAGCTAATCAACGTAAAAAAATTATCCTATGCATCTCATAATTCTTGACTGAAATCTGATAAATATCAAAAATATTTTAACAGAACTGAAAAAAATAAACCACCTAATACCAAACTTGATCAAATTAAACTGTAAAAAATTTGATATTTTAAAAACTCTTCAGAACAAAAATAATAATAATACTTTGAAGTGAACACGACTTTTATCCAAGAAAAATAAGAAGCTTCTATTTCTTGCATGGCTCATTCATTATCTTCTCAACAATATCACAATCCGAATAGTAATAATTATCAACAATGTTCACCGTCAACAAATAGTCATGCAACAATGTTTAACAACTATCATCGATCTCATCGAACTGATCAACAGCAGTTGCATGGAAATTATCAGAAACAGCAACAACAACAACAGCAACAAAATATCAATAATTTAAGTCGAATGAAACTGAGTAGTTTAAAAGGAAAATCATGGCAGGCATTTGGTGAGGCATTAACAAGTGAATCAAGTAAGTTTATTAAAACTGAATTCATTAAAGATCATGCTTTATTGTTATTATATAATTTTAGGTGATGATGAGACTGATAATGAAGATCCACTCGCTCTTCCAACAACTTCCACAAAAACTCGTCATAATCGAGGTTCATTCGTTCGTCTCAAACGACGTGACATTCCATTATATGGATACTGTCCTGAAACAGATCCATTTGCAATCGTAACATGTCGACATTGTCGTAAAATTCTTAAATCAACAGCTTTAAAGCGTCACATTGACATGCGACATGATCCAATGGTCAAATTAGAAAAGATTTCAGATAAATATGGAAACGCAGAAAAGATTGAGAAGATTAAGGATGCAGTTGAGAAAATTTCAGTTACACAACACGCTGAAAAATCATCGGTGTCAAGTTCTCAATCTTCTGAGACTTTACAGAAACGACATCGTCATGCTCAAAGAAAATCAACAACATCAGATAATTCAAATGATGCAGTTCCAATGCAAATTGAGGCACTACCTCAACCGCCTCCACCACCACCACCTCCAATTCAAGTTCCAAAAATTTTACAGCCACCAACTGTCATTGCACCATCAGAATCATCAAGTGCAAGTAATAGTCCACAGCCACGTCGAAAGAAGCGTAAAACAATGGTACATCCACAACCACAGAAGCCAATTCCAGTTGTAACAACTACAACAGCTTCACAAATAGTTACCAACAATACAGAAACATTCCAATCGACATCAAAAGCATCGCCGGTATTGCAACCAACACCATCAATTGTTGTCAGCACTTCAGCTCCACAGCAACAGACAATTGTGACGGCAACAGCAGCACCAACAACATGTCGTATAATAATGTCATCGTCACCACCGCCACTTGCGCCAATTACAACAACAAATGAAGCACCACCATCTGTCTGGATTGTAACACCGTCACCGGCTGTAATAATTGATGGATCGTTTGTCATGAAACCATTGGAAGCAGAAATCGACACGGAAATTGATTTGAAGGATCTGAAAGTTTTAAAACCTGCTTTAAAGGAATCACAAGCAGAGACATCAACTCAATTGACAGCATCAAATTGGTATACAACTCAACCACGTCCATTAGCATTGAATACATTTAATATGAGGAAGATAAATACCCAACGTTATGTAATGGCTACACAACGTAAACTAATTGAATTGAATAGAACATTGAGACAGGATGATAAGATTATTAATGCTGTTACAAAGGCACAGCCTAAAACATGGAGCTTCATTGAGCGAAGTCAAGTGTTCATTCCATTTCGTGTTACGCATTAAGATTCTCCTCAGTTTGCATACACACATTTACATTATGAATATGACGGGTTTCAAGCTTTTCTTTCTCATATAATTTTGAATTTGTTTTTTGTTTATGTCGAATTGGAAATGCTTTTTTTTTTAATACAGAAACATTTCCGATGAATCTTAGAACTTTTGATAGAAAAAAACTTGTTGAATAAAATTTAAAAGATAAAGCAGAGTTTAGAGGGAATTAAGGTTGTCGAGGCAAAGTTTGAATTTCAAAATGAAAAAACTAAAAAATTTAAAAATCATTAAATTAGGCAAAGGCATAAACTCTGTCTGATTAACAACATTAAATGAGTGTTTGTCAAATAATTCTATCTTATTATGAAGATCTTCTTATTTAAAGTATTCTGAAGATATTCAAACTCAATAGAACTTCCTCTAATTTTCTTCAACAACACTATCCTTGTATTATCATTAAGACATAGAAACTGCTTATTGTTAAATTAAGAAAAAATCAATTCGTTTGCATTTCTAAGTGAAGATAAGTACGACAGGTATATTTGACAAATTTTTCGAGTTCTTTCTGTAATGATGTCTTCAAAAAAACAGAATTAAATGTCCTTTGCCAAGCAAGTAGTTGACATCATTACAGAATAGCTTCAAAATAATAAGATCTATATTGCTTTTTTGAAAGAAATACGATTATTAATAAAAAAAAATAAACAATTATAATTTTTTCTTCTCTTGTTAACATGAAATCAGGAACAAATTTTTATTTTAGGCTAAATAATCAATTTGATGGCAAAATAATTAGTTGAAATAATAAAATTTTGAATTTTTAAAAATAACTATAAATTTTTATTGAGTTTTTTTTTAAATTTAAATTTCGTCCTTAAAAACTTAATTTTATTTATAAAATAAGAAAACAAAAAAAGAAATCCAATTGAAATTGGTGTGAAATATCTGAGAGCTTTTTGTTCAAAAATTTAACTTTTTTTGAATTTAAGATTTTTATTTTTTTAAAAAATTAATTTTTTTGAACGTTCAAGTTTAATATTTTGATATTTCATTTTTTAACTTATTTTAAAAATATTTTGGCTTTAAAATGAAAGTGTTCAAAGAACTAGAGAAGTTTTTCACTAAAAATAAGAAACAGTAATTTTTTTTTATTTTATTCAACAGAAATTCAAAATTATAGCTCTTCTTTGAAAAAAAAATAAAATAAAAAGATCCATCTGACTGTCTATTGCATAAAATATATCATAATTATTCAAAAATTATATTCATGATCTTGATGGGTAATGCGATGCTAAAAATTGTATTCTTAAAAATGTATAGTTTTAAAATCATTTTTTGATATGTTTGAGCAAAAAACTGTATGATTTTAAATTATTAGTTTTTGAAAAAAGATTTTTAAAACTTTTTTCACAAAACTTTGGAGAAATTAAATTAAAAATGGGAAATATTATTGAAATAAAAATTAGAAATTGCTGAGATAGAAATTAATAAATTTAAAAACAAAATCTTAAAATTTGGACAAGAATTTTCAGATCGAAAAGTAATTTTCAAAACCATTCGAACTGTTCATTTGTTGGACAGATAAATCTCTTTAAAAAGCTTATGATTATATATGATAGAATTAAAAGTGTGAGTTTTCTGAGAGTGAACTTGACGTGCAAACTGTGATGAGTGAATAGAAGTTGTGAACGTTGAATTGAATGGACTTCAAATAAAAAATTCTTAAAAAATCTGAAATATTGAAAAAAATTCAATATTTTTAAAATAACTTAAGTTAAAAATAAAATATAAAGTAGTCTATGCAATTAGCAAATAGCTTAAAAGATTGCCAATGTACACGAAAAGTCACTTACTTAAAAGACTTTAAAAAAACGAATAATATAATGAAAAACAATCTCCAAAATTTAACGGATATTAAAAACTGGATATTAGAACAAACAAAGGACTACAATTTTTTTTTTTTTTTTTTTTTTCAATTAGCGCCTAAAAGGCTTTATTTATTACTTAAAATTACGTAATAAGAACCTGTTCACACATCACAGGACGCAAAATATTCATAATTCAGAGAAAAATTTGAAACGGTCACATTTTTCATTGAACTTTATCATTACGATACAACAAAAACTATTCAAATAAGGTTTTCTAGACGCATTAGTAAATATAAAACACATTAAACAATTTTGAATTAACTGATCGATTTCTTATGATAGTTTGAAACTTTCCCTAACAGACAAGTGAATATCATGATACCATAACATACTCAAGAGCATACGGTATCATGAGTGAGCTCATTTGTCTGCTAGAGTTTATAAATCAATTCATCAGATTAATTTTAGATTTTTTGTAAAGATCCTCAACATCTTCTTAATGCATATTATTTAGCATTATTAATGGTTGGTCTGCAATTGAAATGAAATTTATTATATCTCAAATAATACTTTTCAAAATTAAATCATAATGGTCTTAAAATAATATTCCAGCCCTCCTCTTATAGTAAAAAATAAATGCAAACAATTTCTGTGCATAATCTAATCAAACAAAGCATAATTAATCGTCAAGAATCTTTTAAAAATTTATTTTTTATAATTAAATTATTAAAAATGACGACAGCAATTTAGATGAATGAACTAGTGTGTCGGGTAAAAGCCCAATGCGGATGTATTCACACCGTCCCATCAACAGTCTTGTGGATAGGCCAATCTTTGCTCAGCATATGTTCGAAGGTTTAAAGCTTAACATTCTGTTAAAGTTTTTTTTTTATTTTTTCATCTAAAGTTAAATTTTTTAAAAATGGCAGTAAATTTTGGTTTTTAAAAATCTTGAAAAAGGAAGGTTTTTTGCTTTTCCTGAAGCAACGACTGTTCCTACCTTGCCTAAAAATAATACAGCTCTTCTATAAAGCAACACGGATAAAATCCAAAAAATAGAAGTCTTCAAGATGTTTCATCATTCAAATTTCTTGCTGATTAACTTGCTTGCTAAAAGAAAGCGTATTTTGCGATTTTCTCAAAAGATGTGACATTTCAGACATAAACTTTTTGTCTTTGGTCATGTTAAGCTTTCTTGCTTCATTTCCTGACAAAAATGATTTTTCAATCTAAACAAAAACATCACATTCACACGTGAATACGGTGTGAATATAAAAAGAATTGTTGATGTGACTGACTTTAAAGTAATAATATTTATGAGCAGCTTTCCCTAACAACATAAGAGAACCTCACAAAAAATGAGCTTGATGAGAGAATGATTATTTAATGTGCTCCCAAGAGAACCTTAGTGAGCATGCTGAAGATCGTACTCTGAGCTTGAAAATTTAAGGTTCTCACGTGAGACACTTTTTGAGCTTGCTCTTGAGCATGATCTGAGAATCTCCACTTGTCGTGTGACAAAATTATTTCATGCTCTTAAAAGAATCTTACCGAGCACGTTCAAGATCCTCCTCTGAGCTTGAAAATTTAAGGTTCTCACGTGAGACACTTTTTGAGCTTGCTCTTGAGCATGTTCTGAGAATCTCCACTTGTCGTGTGACAAAATTATTTCATGCTCTTAAAAGAATCTTACCGAGCACGTTCAAGATCCTACTCTGAGCTTGAAAATTTAAGGTTCTCACGTGAGACACTTTTTGAGCTTGCTCTTGAGCATGATCTGAGAATCTCCACTTTTCGTGTGACAAAATTATTTTCATGCTCTTAAAAGAATCTTACCGAGCACGTTCAAGATCCTACTCTGAGCTTGATATCTTGATCTTGCCCTAAAAAAATTGGGCAAGATGTCCAAAAAACATAAAAATATGGACCTAAACTTATCTTGCCCTTGAAAATATTAGGGCAAGAAATCCAAAAATGAAAAAAATATGGCCCTAAAAACAGTACGCGTTTTTGCCATTTTAAAAATATATCATTTCAGACAGCAATAGATCAGAGGATAAGTGAACGGCATATTACGACTCAGCGCTCCAGGTTCGAATCTCGGCAAATCTCAAAAAAGTAAAAAAAAATCAAACTCTTGAGAGCATACTCAAAATCATGCTCATAAGAGCACCTCTAATAATTAACTCAAAAGAACATGCTCAAGAGAACATGTCAATATTTTTTAATATTTTAAATAATAAATCGTGCTCTTTAGAGCACGCTCAAAATCAAGCTCTCATGAGCACGCTCTTCAGTACAATTTTCTGAGCTTAATTATCATGCTCACCTAGAGAAGCCTACGGTACCTATTTGAGCATGATAATTAAGACTCTTTCGTGAGCATGACCAAGATCGCGATCTTGTGAGCATGTCACATGCAACATGTTACATCGATCAAGCTCTTCTGATCGCGATCTTGATCATGCTCACGAAAGAGTCTTAATTATCATGCTCAAATAGGTACCGTAGGTGGCTCTAGGTGAGCACGCTCAAAAAGTCTGATCAAGCTCAATTTATCATGCTCTGAGCATGCTCTTTGTGGGTTAGGGTTTGTTTTTGCACGAACATATTTTTCACATTGACAATTCATTTAATTTTTTTCTTTGAATTAAAAATTTTTCGAATGTTATTTTTCCAGAGATTAAAGTAAAAATAAATAAAAGAAAATCTAAGAACAGAAAACATCTAAGGAATGATATCGCAACATTGATAATCGTCATGAATAATGATAGTTATGTATGTATAATAGAATAATAAAATTACAAATAAAATATTTAAAAGGAAATATAACGATTTTTCATAATTTATTAAATATAAACAAATTTTACAACCAAGTCTAATATTAAGGCCTCTTCGATACTCCTAATAACCTAAGAACTCTACTGTGCATAATTGAAACTATTCTCACTTTACTCAAACTTGAAATTTCTGATAATTTCTTTAATTTTTCTAAGAACGCAATTTCATTCGCTTACAAAAATGTCAACACTTTTACATAAACAATGTTTTAATTAAAAAGAGACCGCACAATGTAAGAAGATTGAGTACGGCAATTGTTTATTGTATACATCTGTATGTCTGATTCGTTACTTGACAACCGGCGACAATTATTTCAGGTGTGTTGAAGTCTTTATTTAAAGACATATATAATACGCATGATTTGATGACGCAATTGGAGCTGTTTTCGAGTTTAATTCTAGATAAAGGTGTTGCTTTATAAAACTTCATAATACAAAATAAATTCAGAAATTTTTGGAAAAAAACAACGAAATCATTTGTCAGACTACGGCTTTTGTGCATGCATACTATAATGAAATTGTTTCTATCATGCTCTTATTCCATTAAAGAAGTAAACAATAGTGATTAAGTCGATTTTGGTAAGATCTGACAAACCTACACTCAAATATACAACCAGTCCATCTTAGTATTTATTAAATTAAAAGTTTAAGTACTATTTTTTAGGGCTTTTTCCTTGGAAGAAGAAAAATGGTGAATAAAACTTACAGACTCAATTCAAATGCAATTCAAAAGAGTTCTGTAAATATCTGTCTGTTCCTGTGAACTATTTTGAGTAGCTTTATTAAATGCGCCAATATTGAAAAATTGGCACATCAAAAACATTTTATATTAAAGTGTATTCAAACAAATTTTGGGTTTCCTTAAGTAAATGTTTTTATTTATTTACATTAATTTTGTTCAATTGCTTAAATACTATTTTTTCCAAAGTTTATTTTATTATGCTATTTTTGGAAACCTTCTTGCTGAAACCTTTAAGCACCTGCATTGCTGGTGCATCCATCTATCGCTGGGGCACTTTGGGTCTTGATGGCATTCACATTGACATGTTTGTGGATTAAAAGCCAGATTTAATTTGCATTCTTCCTTTTGTATGCACTGACATTCACAAGATTTTTCAATCCACTTTCCTCTGCAAGCAATCTTTGATTCTTCGTTGCATTTTGACAGTTCGAAACACTTTTTCAATTTTCCACTCTCAACAAATGACGAAATTGACAAAATTATAATGAGGATTATTTTTTGATTCATGTTAATTTTTAAGTGTTACTTTGAAAATTAAAGAATTGGAAATGATAGCTACGTGTAATTATTTTGAGGTTTTATATTGAGCTTCAAATGATAATTGCTTACTTAATTAATAAATAAGCTTTTCGAATATAAATTGTTACAAGGAAATGTTGAGCTTTTACACAGCATTGCTATTTATTTAAAACCATAGCTTTTTATTAAATAGTTCAGAACTTTAATCATACTAATCAATTTGTCAGTCGTTAATGTTTTCAGATAATGATTATTTTTTAAAATTCTTAGCTTTTTTTGATTTAATATCATTTGTGAAATTAAATAAAAAAATAATTTCACTTTAGACCAAAAAAATAGATGAAATCTTCATACTTCACAAGAGTAAAATAATTTTGATATAAATGGTGACCTGAAAAAAGGCATGGAGAGGGCCCATCCTTTTTTGAGCTGGAGGCACTGCGATTCAAATTAGAATAGAATCTATTGTATCAAAGCCTTAGACTTACAGTTTATAGTGGAATCCGTGTGTGTAGGATGCTGGAATGAAATCATAGAAATGCTAGTATATCCTAGTATACCTAACAAAGGAGACACATTATGTAGCGAAGACCTCAAAACTACACCCAACACACAAACCGAGCTGCGTAACTAGAGCGGTGAAATGGAAACAGAGCTTGTAAAATTTGACTTGGCCTGGGATTGAACACATAACCTTTGGCACGCAAGGCCAACGCTCTACCACTTGGGCCACTAATGCCATTTCACCACTGGTGAACTGTGTCAGGATGATTTTTTCTCAGACGAGACTTGTGACAGGTGAATAAATATGGTCACAAGGTAACGATTTGTGGCAAATGAGTTTTCGAAAGAAACTGTCTCCTTTACCTGTCAGACAGGAACTTGTCGTCGCTACTATGCTACCAAAAAGTTTCAAGCTCAACACAAGTTCTTAAAATAACTGATCTTGTTTTTCATCATCACAATGAGGAATTTTTTACATTTCTCTATCATAATTGGCCAATAAGAATCAATCAACGTGTGGAAATTATCAATTTTCTTATTTGTTGTATGGATCAAAACCTTGCTAAGCCCAGACATCATCTGATTCTGTAAGTATAGTTACAAGTTCTATTTCAAAATTAAACAAGACGTCATCTAAAGTTTGTCATCAAAACAAAAGAATGTCACTGTGAATGCAGATGTAAAGCCTTGGTTCAGATAAGATTTAAGTATTTGGTGTTTTTTTTTAAATTATTTGGTATAAAATTTGAAAAAAAAACATGTTTATAATCTTTAAAGATTTTTGTTCACACTGAAGATTTGGACACTTAAGGTTCTAAGCCGGTAGAAGGTTTTAAGTTAAAATTCATGGATATTGTACTCATGCATATATAACAGTTCATATCCTGTTGGAAAGATGAATTTCTAAAAAGCCAATAAAATAGTTTTTAGGCAAAATTTCGATTTTATCCCACAGTGCATAGGAGGTGGGTTTATATATATTTCGGATGTCCGAATATATTTCATTCAATTTTTTCACCATAAAATTATTTTTGAGATTGTTTTATAGCTTCAACTTTTTAGCACATTAATTTTTTTAAACATAATAAAATGAAGTTGTTATTCATAAATTTGAATTTATTGAACTAATCACACTTAATAAATCATATTCCTTTTTTTGTGAATAAGCTTCAGTGTGAAATCAAATTAAAGATTTAAAGAGCAGGACTAGAGCATTCACAAGTTGGTATCATTGGAAGCAATCCTGGTGGACAGTTAATTTGTAGACATGAGCAAATGCATAAGTCTGAATCATAAATTAATGGTACAGGACATATCAATTTCTTACTGCAAACACAACTACATGAATTTTCATCAAATCTGAGAAAAAAAGAAATTAATAAATGAAAAATAATTGATTAATGTATAAAAATAAAGTTGTTAATTAATTTTTGATTTTGTCTCAAATATTATATAATAGTTAAAAGTAGGGTTACCATCTAATTTTCATGAAAATACAGGATTTTTGGTAAATTTTTTCGAAAAATACAGGACATAGAGTAAAATTCGAAAATTAACGGAAATTTTCGTGAAAAAAATACAGGACCCGGAACAAAGTTTTCAAATTTATACAGGACAGAGTTTTGAAATACAGGACTGTCCGTTGTAAAACTACGCAGATGGTCACCCTTGTTAAAAGTGAAACATTTCATGACAATTTAAGTATATTCCTTACACTTTGAATGCTGGACAATTTGAATCATTACTGCATTGACTAGAAGCTACAAATTTTAAACGAAAATACATTTTTTTCAAAATTTAACATTTAACCAAAAAAACTTATTTCCTTACCAGCAATTGAAATGCTCAAGATCACAATAAACAAAACAAAAATTTTCATTTTTTTAAATTTCAAGTATGCCAAGTTGTTTCGATTTTTAAATAAAATTCAGAACTGATGTTTTAAGTTTCATGAACGACCTTTTATTAGAGATGGTTTCGTCATAAAGCCCAAAAAAACCTGAAATTTTAAGATCGTGCTCTATTGTTTATGCATCTCAGCTGTAAACAATACAACGAGCACGTGAGACTATTAAATTATTAACTATAAAAGTTTTAAAATATTTTGTAATACAGTGTCTTCCAATACAATTTAGATGCAATAAATTAGAATGGATTTATATCAATAAATTTCTCAAAACATAAATGTATTTGAACTTTATTAAAATATTTTTCGACTAGAAATTCAGTTACAGATCACATCAATTTTTTTTATCATCACTTTCTTTTTCATCATCGTAAAATTCATTATTCTTTTCAACCAAATTATCATAATCATGCTGATTAATTCGGATGTCAAGATTCGGCTCTTCAGATCTATCTTTTTCATCAATCAATACATTTGCAGGAATATCAAACATCTGAACTGCTGGACTATGCTGACACATTTTTAAAGTGTCATACGTATGCTGGATAATAGCTTCTATATAATGTTTTGAATTTGCATTGTCTATTTTTCGGAACTAAAAATAAAATATGTAATTTTCGTCTTTAATTTAAATAAAATTGTCTTACATGCTCATTATTTGGATGAAGGAGATAGTCAGGTTTAAAAAATTCCATATAAATGTTCATTGGAATTTTGTTTGGAATTTCTTCATCCACTAAAAGAGATGTCTCATATGTCCAACATCTGGCTACATTTCTTAAAGTATACCCACCACCTTAAATTATCGAAACGTACAGTTTATTAACAAACATCAATGAAGGCAAGGCTACAATCAAGGCTATAAAGAATAGAATATTAAATAATATTTACCTCCCAAAACTAGTGTTGGTATATTTAATTCCTTAACAAACTTCACACATTCACCATGCCCTTTTAGTGTTAATTGAAAAAGACCTAAACGATCGCCTGCAATTGAATCAGCTCCACATTGAAGAACAATTGCTGTTGGTCTGTAAAACTCCATCGCATACGTCATTACTGATTTAAATATATGAATATAATTTTGATCGTCTATGCCTTCTTTGAGTGGCACATTAATTGAATAATATCGTCCACTGTCGATTCCAATCTCATACATTGAACCGCTTAATGGAAAAAAGTTTTCACCATATTTATGAAAACTAAGAGTCATTACGCGATCAGTTGTATAAAACGCTTCTTGAACACCATCTCCATGATGAATATCTATATCTACATACAAGACTCTTGGATGATATTTTAATAGTTCCAAAATTGCAATAACAATGTCATTAACATAACAAAATCCAGACGGTCCATATTTTTTTGCATGATGGAATCCTCCACTCCAATTGATGCAAATATCACACAGATTTTGGTTTAATTTTTGTGCTCCTTCTAGACTTGCTCCCGTACATAGAGCACAAAAATCAAATAATCCATCAAAAATGGGGCAATCATCACCCAAGTTAAACTGTCTTTGATCATGAATTGAAACGGAGTTTGGGACAGTATTTTGGAGGAATTTGATATATTCGGTGTCATGAAATCGACACATGTCTAATGCTGATGCTCTAAAATTGATAAAAATAAGCTAATAAGATTTAGAATTGGAACAGAGAAAATTACTTGTATGGACGAAATATTTTCATTTTTTTGTGGAGACCATAGCTCATGACTAGATGATGGGTAACTGCTAGACGATGAGGCTTCATAGGATGAAATGATCTAAAGAGATTAAAAAACATCAACAATTTCATAATAATCATGCATTCCACATGTATTACTCACCCATAGTGGAAATTCCCTACTTCTTCACAGAAAGCATAAGAGACTCTTTTTGTGGACATAATTATGCACCCAAAGATTTCATTCTGAAATTTTAATTTATAATTTTTTTGCACAATTGTTTCTTTCTGGAATAATATTGTTTATTTCACCAATACATTCAAATGATTTATGGTAGCATTCTTTTATGATGTCAACTTAGCATAAAGGGTTAATAAATTTGCATAAAATAATAACAAGTTGAAATCATTTTGAGGTCTATTTAGAGATTTAAGAGACACAAAACTACTTATCATATCATTTCAGAGACGCCATTTATGAATGACCTTTTTACAAAAACAAACAAGCATTCAAAAATTTTAGACCGTTAATTTATCCAAAAAAAAATGTAAGCTGTAAGTCAAGCATAATACATTTGAAGCATTGTAATCTTCTAAATTATAAGCACTGACTCTAGAATGAAAGCCGTGTAAAGTCATTTGTGAAGTCGTGTGAAGCGAATGATTCGAGAGCATGTTTAAGAGATCCTAGGTGGTATTGACAATGTGGTTGTCAGATATATTTTGTGAAGACATTAATAAAGTTTGTGGGGGGGGGGGGTTAAGGTCCACGTTTAGGAGGTGAAAATATGTGAAGTTCTATTTAGAGAAACGTTCATGCTATAAATTTCTAAAATAAACATGCTCTATGTGCTTCCAATTCGTGTCTATTGTTATCAATCTTCAAATATATTAAATCATCGTCAACATGTAGCAAGCAAATGAGAAATAAAACTTGAAAGAACATTTAGTCGTATCTTTATTTTTCAGTTGTTAAGTTTTTAATTGTGAATTATTTTAAAATTATGAATTCTGATTTTAAAATAAAAATTGATGCAAACAATTTTGAAGAAGCAATTGTGAAAATTTTGAAAGAAATTCGATCTAATTGGATTGATAAGGAAATAAATTTTAAAGTAAATTTTGTAATAAACTTGTTTAAAAAAATGTTTTTTGAAGATTAAATTCATCTGTTAATTTAAGGTTTTCTCAGAAGGAATTACAAACAAATTAGTAGGAACATATTGCAACAGCGTGTCTGAAATGATTTTATTCCGGATTAATGGAAATAAAACTGAAATTCTAATTGACAGATCTGCTGAAATAATCAACATGAAGCTTTTAAATAAGTATGGATTTGCGCCGGAAATTTATGCAACATTTTTAAATGGAATTTGTTATGAGTTTATTCCTGGAGTTATATTAAACACAGAAACTGTAAAAGAACCAACAATTTGGAAGTTGATTGCAACTCAAATGGCTAAAATGCATAAAATTCCTTTATCAAATCAACAGAAGTATGGTGATCCTATGATTAAAAGAGTTGGATTAACATATTTGGATCTTATACCAGATAAATTTAGCGATAATGAGATTAATGAGAGGTAAATTATATAATTATGACTTTGAACTTTGTACGATGCAGTCTCCAGTAACCAAAATGTTGAAAATAATTTTTTCTTGGAAGACGATCGAAGTTTAAATGGTTAAATATTTATTGTGTTTAAAATATTTATTATACATTTATGTACGAATAGAGTTTTCTCAAAGTATTACCTGAACGTGCTTACGAACTACATAATCAATAATTATTCCTTTTTCATACACTCATAGAAAAAAAGTAACCATAATATTTGTTATATGTTTGTTAAACTAGTTTAACAAATTATTGGTTAAGTTTACATGGGTAAAAAAAATTTCAACCAAACTATTTGTTAAAAATTTTACAATTGAGTTTGTTAAATCAACAAATTTATTTGTTAATAATTGATTTAATTAAATTTTAATTTTTGTATTCAAAACTCTTGTTTGATTAATTTCAAACGATTCCCATTAATTTATTGCGTTATTTTTAATGAGAAAACTGCTTTAAATTGAATTTTGTTGATTTTGTTTAACAAATTAATTTGTTAATTTTAACAAAACATTTGTTACAATGTTTTTATTTGTAATTTGTTTTGGAAAATAATGATTTACAAACCAAATCGTAATTTAAAAATTAAATTTGTTCATTTTTTTAAGTCCTACATTTCTATTTTATTATTCATAAATTAATTTTAAAATTTGGATATATTTTTTAAAGAATTATTTATATTGGTTCTGAATCAAATTTTATAAGTAAAAGTTTACAAGCAGCGGACTAGCGGATCATCAACAGGAATTCAGAAGTTAAGCAACCACGGAAACATTTTAAAATAAGATGGGTGACCAAATTAACAATTTTCTGGTTAATATTAACCGAAAATTTGTTATTTTTTTCTGTAAAAAAAAATTTTAACAAAAAGTTTGTTAAATTAACAATTTTTATAGTTAACAATTCAACCTTACAAATAATTTGGTTAAATTTAACAAATAAGTTCGTAAACACTATTTTAACGAATTGTTTGTTAACATTTTCCATACAAGTTACAAACATTTTGTTACTTTTTTTCTATGAGTGTAGGACATCATTGTTCAACCGATAATAAATGAACATCTAACTTTTGGTTGCTAGGGGTTCTACTTTAAAATGTTTTTATCGCATTTTTGAAAACTTGTTTTCTAAAAGGTAGCTTAATAATACATTTCTTTCGATCGTTCTGAAATTGGGTAAGAAACTGAGATCTCATCAATCAGAAATCGCAAAGAGCTCGGGTTTGTTTTAAAAGCTCAGTTTCATCGATTTATTGTTGTATCAGGCAGTTAGAAAGCTTAAAACAATAGCTAAAGTATAAACTCTTAATGAATATAAATTACGGACTCAGCATCCAAAATTAGTAATACTTGTAATGAATATAAATCAGTCTTGCTTTCTGATCATTTCTCTGAATTAGTCAAATTCTGAGAAAGATAATTTGCGCTTAAGTCCCTGGATTAATAACACGAGGACTTTTGTAATTTTTTTATGAATATATTTTATTCTTTTAAATTTCAAAACATGTTGCAGAATTTCAAACATTTTTCCATCAAAATCGGATCTAAAACAACAATTTGCCTTTCTCATGGATATTCTCCAATCTTCTAATTCACAAATTGTTTTCTGTCACAACGACTTACTTCTATCAAATATCATTTACACATCGGATACATCAAAAATTTCGCTGATTGATTTTGAGTATGCTGAGCCAAATTACCAAGCATTTGACATTGGGAATCATTTTGCCAAAATGTCTGGAGCATCTTCTGATAGTTTTATTGATTATTCGAGATTCCCGACTAAGGATTTTCAAATGAAATGGTTAAAATATTATTTGAGAGAATTTTATGGACAAAAAGATGTCAGTACTTTGGAAATTGAAAAACTTTATGAAGATGTGAAGAAATTTGTAGCATCGTCTCATTTTCTATGGACTTGTTGGTGCCTTATTCAAGCAGAAATTTCAGGCATTAAATTTGATTTTGTAAAGTTAGCAAAAACATATTATAATGAATATTTGTATCGAAAAAATCAACTTTAATTCACAAAGTTTGTGAAACAAAAGTTCGAAAAACTTCAAATACCAAGCATTTCTTTTATTAAACAATATTGTTAGACACAAAAGCATGTAACATCAAAAACAGCATAAAATAAACACACTTGTTATTGCTTTAACAGCGTTTAATTCTTCAAAAGTGATTCAACCAATAAAACGTGTCCCAATACTAAGACAATCTTCGATTAAAATTCACCTTTAGTTTCAAAACATCTTACAATATTTAAGAAAACAAATTTATCATCTGCAGTTTTAGTTGTTGCTAGTAATAAAAATTATTTTGTCAATATGATGACTGTCATTTAATCTTTTAATTTCAAGTTGTACAATTTTCACTATCTTTTTAATATTTTATTTAAATAGTTATCGTGGATTAGGGAAGGGCACTATTTCCCTCTTTTTTACAAGGAAAAATGGAAAAGATTTACTTAAATTGAACCTGGTTTTCGCAAAAGAAAAAATTTCATTACAAATAACTTACAAACTATCAAATAAATATCAATGAATGGCATTATCTATCAATATATTTCAAAAGTGCTGCTGCAATGCCCTTTGATGATCCTTGATGGTGATTTTTTTACTTTGATTTTTTTTAATCGTAAATGTTTTTCCCCGGTTGAGATTGTGTTAAATTGTTTACACGTGCTTTTTACCAATATTAATCTTTGACTGTATTTAATATGTATTCTTTTGTTTTCCGATCTTGTATAAAAATCAATCAGTTTACTTTTAAATCTTGAGTTGTTTGGATGAAGATTTAAGAAAAAATGAAAGTTTTATTTGTTTTTGTTTGCGGTAAGTTGGTGAATATTTTGAGAAGTGCTGATTATATCTCGAGTTTCTCGAGTTGTAATGTGTTTTGTTTAAGATTCCATTCTTAACTATTTTTTTAAATTAAAACAATTAAATAGCAAGTACAATTAAAATTTTGAAAAAAAGAGAAATTCTAAAACTCGTAATTTCATTAATATTTTTTATCGTTAGCATGTCATTTTTTAAAAATAATCAAATTATTTATCAAATAAGTTGCGTTATTTTCAAAATTAAAGTACAGGACTCTGCATTCAACAATCAATAGAATTAGACTGAAGACTCTTTACAAAATTTAACTCATTTTATTATTATTGACTTTTTAAATTCTAAATATAAATCCTTTAAATACCAAACCATTGAAATTTGCATATCAGATTAGTAGATGCCGACTGTCTTGCATAAATTTTGTTTTGATTTTACCTGCATATGTGATTGTGTTGCATATCATCAAAACTACATTTTCACACACATGTGTTGTTACTCGTGTTTATTTGTGTATCATCTGACTTATAAGACTGTATTTTATCCACAGATCAAGTTGTTGTTTTGATATGATCATTTCTGCTAAATATAGAGTCATGATCTAAAAAACTTTAAAATTGTGAAATCCCTAATGAATGCTCTTTTTGCATTATCATCGTTATGGTCAATTTTCTACAATTATCTTATATTCTAACATTAAATGTCATTCATTTTAAATAAACAATATTGTACTTTTTCAGTTTTGTTTGCTCTGTCAGCTGAAGGGAAATGGAGAGCCAAGAAAGAAGAAAATGAGGATAATCTGCCAATTAATGAAGATTTAAAAGGTAAGAGTTGACATGTTACTTATTCCTAATTTATTATTTTTATTTTTGGAAAGCCGGTTGAATCAACAATTTCTTGAATGCATAAATTTTTTTTGATCGTTCACGAGTGAGACGCTGAGTTAAACAGCACTCATAAGTGCTTAAAGACTTAACCTTATATTAAGTTTAATTTAAATTGTTTTAGAGAATATATGCGAAATGCACCGAGTTAAACCACACTGTCAACAATCAAAATATCGTACAATTGATGGATCATGTAACAATATCAATCATCCATTATGGGGGATACCATATTCTAAATTCTCACGAATTTTAAAAGCTGAATATGGTGATGGAGTTTCAACTTTCCAGAAATCTGTAACTGGTCATGACCTTCCAAGTCCGCGATTTATTTCAAAAAATATTTACTCAGAAAAGAGCGTTCTCGATCCTGAATATACAATTGCTATGATGCAATTCGGGCAGGTCATGGCTCATGATATGAGTTTTGGACTTGAAGCATCATCAAAGTCATGCTGCTCTCATAAAAATAAATATGACCTGAGTGTGAAGAAATGTGATGCAATTTCAGTTCCAAAAGATGATTTATTCCTTGCCCCACAAGATGTCCAGTGTATGAATTTCGTCAGAAATGTACACGATGCTGATCTGGATTGTCCACCAAATAAGGTTCAAGGCGCAGTTTCACAAATTTCAACACCAACAGTCTTTTTAGATCTTTCTATTCTTTATGGGAGTACGCCTGAACAAGAAAAAATTTTAAGAAGCTTTGACGGTGGCTTGATGAGAACTTCATTAAAAGATGGACATGAATATCCACCACATTATACTAAATCTAACAAAGATTGCTTCATTGACTCAACAAAAGACTTTTGCTACTTAAGTAGTGACGATCGAATTAATCAAAATCCACATTTAACTATCATTCAAGTCTATTATCTTCGTGAACATAACAGAATTGCCAGAGAACTTTCAAAACTTAATCCTCACTGGGATGATGAGAAATTGTATCAAGAAAGTCGTCGCATCAACATTGCTCAGTACCAGTATGTTTCTTATTATGAATGGCTTACTATATTTTTGGGCGATCAAAATATGCTCGATAAGAAAATGATTTATCACTATAGTGGAGATGAATATGTCAATGACTATAATGCAACCATCGAACCTCAAATATTCAACGAACACGCAAATGCTGCTTATAGATTCTTTCATACGCAGATTGAAGGTCATTTAGAGTAAGTAGTTGTTTTCCTATAAAGTAAGGTGTCGGGTATCAGCAAAGGATAATTTTATTCATCCATGAGTCATTTTATTTGTGCTGATTGGAATTCTTAATTATTCATAAATATTGCTTAATTTTTTTCAGACTCTTGACTGAATCTCGTGAGATAATATCCAAAATATCATTAAGTGATTATTACAACAAGCCAAGAATAATCGAAGAGCATTTTGATAATCTTGGTCGTGGTCTTGTAACTCAACAATCTCAATTAACTGACGTCAATTACGATACTGAGATCCTCGATTACTTATTTAAGCATGAAAGAAGTTTTGGAGATGATTTAAGAGCAGTGGATATCCAGAGAGGACGTGATCATGGTGTTGCACGTTACAATGATTTCCGAGAAGCATGTGGACTACCAAGAGCTAAAACATGGGAAGACTACTTGGATTTAATTTCAGAAACGGAAGTTGAAAAGCTAAAGCAGGTTTATGAAAGTTTTGAGGATGTTGAGTTATCTGTCGGTGGAACTCTTGAAAAAATAGTTGACAATACAACATTATCAGGTCCAACATTGCTGTGCATTTTTGACATTCAATTTTATAACACTCGAGTAACTGATCGATATTGGTTTGAGTCAGGAGATCCAGAAGTTGCATTCACACGTCCACAATTGGCAGAAATTAGAAAATCAAGCTTTGCACGGTTATTTTGTGATAATTCAAATAATGTTACTAGAGTGCAGAAAAAGGCATTTGACATAGTTGATGAGCACGAGTAAGTTACACATTTAATTTAATTAAAATGTACAAATTTATATTTCTTTTAATGAAATTCAATTTATAGAAATCCAATTGTTCCATGTTCAGAGATTCCAGTCGTTGACTTATCGAAGTGGACGAATTCAGCTTAAATTTACAAATTTGCGTCAAAACTTAATTTCTTTATATCGTAAAAATTGAATAAAACTTGATAAAATATGAATATCCAAGATAAATGAAATTAATACAATTATTGAAAATTTAATTTCTTAGCATGATTAGACGAGATCGTTTCGCCTATGACTTTCTATGATATGGTTTGAATTTGTGGGAACACCGCATAGGATACACCTAATAAATGAGGTTTATGAAAGAAACTAAAGGAAATGAATAAAAGGAAACCCAAAGGTCCAGGGTTTAATCCCAGGCCATGTCTAATTTTCGAAGCTCTTTTTTCATTTTCAAAGTTCTAGTTACGAAGCTCGGTTCATGTGCTGGGAGTAGTATTGAGGTCTTTGGCATAGAATATGCCTCCTTTGCTAGGTATACAAGGATATACTAGCATCTGGATGACTTCTTTGCGGCATCTTGTGCACACGAATTGTGACTAGATACATTGCAGGGTAAATTAGTTCTTACGACGCACTCATCATGTCTTTGCAATGTGCAGAGCTTGCAAGTGGTTCGGATCCCACTATAAGCTGTTGGTCTAAAGGGTGTGGTACAATAGATTCTGTTCTAATTTGAATCGCAGTTCCTCTAGCTGAAAGCACGAAAATTTTTATTGAATTTAATATATATCAAGGCGTGGAAACTATCCCAAATATCATATTTATCCCACATATCCCAAAAATATTCAAAAAATTCCTGAGCATGTATGCACGATAATAAAGATATCCCAACGTATCCTTAGTGTTTTGGACGTGTAGTTTCAGGATATGATGGGATATCTCAATTCTAATGCATACAGACTCAGGGATTATTTTGAATATTTTTGGGATATATGGGATAAATGGGATATTTGGGATAATTTCCACGCCTTGATATATATTTTTGAAAGAAAAAAATAAAAGTCTTGAAAATAAATATGTGGACGCTCACATTATTATATACCAGTTGTTGAATGCAAAAAACTAGAAGTCTCTAAGTACTTCCAGTTTCGAGTTTTTGAGGCCGCCAGCCAACCAGTCAAAATGGACTTTTAAGCACATTGTTTCCATAAGAAAATGCATAAAACATAAATTGATTCTTTGAAAATTTAATCTATTCTAATCTCACACATAACAAACAGTGCTTTCAAAACTGTATTTCATATTAATTCTAGATGTTTTGTTATTTTAATTTTTAGCATATTTAATTTTTTTCTTCCGCGTGCACACAAAGAATCAGGAAAGAATGAACTTCAGAACTACAGACAATATTTTCTGATATAAGAATTAATAATTCATGTTAAAATGAGTCACAGCAATTTTTGTATTTTATTATTATTCATAATTTCCAAGAGCGTCAGTACCGGAAGCTTTGTGAATGAGGTACGAAAAGACAAACAAATGCAAACTACTTTAGTCTGATGTCTTGCTACTAAAGTTTCTAGTTGATACACAAAAAAATAATTCAATTAAATATTGATAAATTAGATGGTTCAGCCAAATCCAAACAATGTGTTATAAAACTTTCAGTTCCAGTTTTAGTCCACAAAGTTTCAACAAGTATGAAAATCTATGAGGATAAAAAGCTTATTAAAATAGGCTACGTTGAAAAAAATTGAACTAAGATTCTTAAAAAAATTTATAATTTATTAGTCTAATCAAAAAATGAAAGAAACAAAAAAACACAACTCACGTAGAAAGGCAACGAACTTCCGCGCCTCTTTTGGTAGAATGAAGTACATTCATGAAATAACAATTTTTCTACTACAAAATGCGAGTCAACAATCAAATAGCTCTAAAATTTTGCCTTTTGAATAGCATATTTATTGTATTTTAAAAAATATTAAACATTAGGTACAGTCAAAAGTTTTTGTTCTAGAACGGTTTTTTAAAACTTAAATTTTGTAACGGTTTTATAAATTTGAAGTTTTTGCCATGCTTATATTATTTATGTCCGATACCATAATTAACAATTCTTTTATAACCAAATAAGTCAATTTTAACAAAAAATCTCTTGAATACAACAGGATTTGTCGTTTAAGCTCAATTCAAAAAAATTATAGGTAGAGAAATTAATTATTGTCAGAGCGCACTCATCACTTGTTTTTCATGGGCAAATCCGCGGACAATAAAAAGCTCCAAATTTTTGTTTTTCTCAAATTTCTCTTCTATTTGGCTATTTAAGTGATATTTTAATACCAAAACATGCGTATTTCTGACAAATGTACAACTTTCGATAACTTTGGCATGAAATAAATCATTAATTAAAAAGATATTTTGATTTTTCTGGCGTCAATCTCTCCTGCAATCGAAACTTATTTTCAAAAAAAAAACAAATATTTTCTTATTATAAATCTAGACAGCACCAGACTTGTTTTATAGCATTTAAAATGTAATTTTCTATCACATTCTTTTATCAGGTGTTAAAAAAGTCACTTAATTAAGAGAAATTAAAGAAAAATTGGCGAAAGTCCTCGTGTTATATATCGAGAGACTTCAGCGCATTTTTATGTTAGCGATCAGTATTTGATTATCTAATTATTTTGCGTTCATTTAAAGATCATTACAAGATCAGAAGATCATCAACTTTAGTGTAATTATCAAATAATTACAATAAATGCTTATAAAGAAAAGCTTTATTATTTAACGATCTTTTGGAATTCAAACTTTGTAACGTTCAAAATGCATTTGAAACTATCCCACTTGAAGTTGGCTACATTGTTTACATTATTTTGAAATCAAAAAAATCATTAATTATAGTATTTCCCAAAAGTTTTGAGATTTTTTACTATTCGTTGCCGGAATAAATCGATTGAACACAGCTAACGCAAAAAACTCGAACTCTCTACGATGTCTAGATCAAAAGTTTTTGCAGGCAGCCGAGCAAACGAACAAAGCGTCTTATAAAGCTACCTTTTCGAAATAAGCTTCAGAAATGCGCTAAAAAGCGTCAATCCACTATGGGCCAGAAATCGAAAACTTTTCCGAAAATTATTTTTTTGGTCTAAATGATAGCTCTTTCATTCCCATTTATGAAAATAGTTACAAAAGTGGCCAATTCAGCCTAAGTTCCGAGTTATGGCTTTTCAAATTTTTGATTAAGAGCATTTTCTCGACCCACAAAAATTGTCACTACTTTTCATTAGATTGATGAAACTCTTTCATTTTTTTTTTATTTGGTAGCTTAAAATAAGAGCTTTATTTTAGGATAGTAACCATTTAATTATGCATCTTTTAACTTTATGAATTTTAAGGTTTTTTCAAAAAAGCACGTGTTCAGTATGATTATGTTCGTCTAGGACTTCACTCTTAAAATAAATGATGCTGAATCTTTTTTTATATTGTAGATATAAACAAGATCTACAACTTTTATTAAGATACTATAAAGTTTTAGTAGAGTTTTGCTGATGAAATTAAGTCTTTTCTTCAAAAAAACTGCAATTTTTTGACATAAATTCCCATAACTTTTCAGGATAGCCCAAAGGAGTGGATTTTTTTTACATGCTTTAAAAGCTCTTTGAATATACTATCAGAATATACAATCAGCTTGAGTTCGGTTACTGAGACAATCTCGAGCAATTTGACTTTGAAGTGTGACCAGAAATACATTTCAAAACATAAAAATTGAAAATAAATTTTGTACGTTTTTCAAAATTTTAGTTTTTTGCTTTAGATCAATAGATCTCATCAAGGCGCATATTTTGAGTATAAATATGTCATAGTTTGAACAATTTTTATACTCAAATTTCAACAAAATCATTTTTATATATTTTTTCAACAAATTTTACTTATTTTTCAATTATTTTAAATCAAAACTTATTTTAAATCTTCTGATTTTGATATTTTTGAAATTTCTATGTTTTTATGTTAAAATGTCATTCCTAGAGCAACAATTCATAAATTTTTTTTACTTTAAGGTAATTTTTTTATAATTTTTTGCAAATTACACTCATTTTTCTTATCTTTTTTTATCAAATTTTATTTTATAATAATTCTAAATATTGAAATTTAATGTAATATGCATAAAAATACTCTTAAATATTTAAAAATCATATTTTATCCAATTAACGTAGGAATAAAGCTGGAATGAGCAAAGCTTTGATATGTTGCTTTAATTTGAAGGTAATTCTCCTTTCGATTCAGAACATATAAGCATCCAATCAACTATTTTTAATAAATTTCGGTATACATACTTATTTCCATGCAATTGTAAAGCATAAACTGCCTTTCAGGTCCGGAAGTTGAAAGCTCAATATTTATAATCTGACTGGATTCACTAATGGTGACTGGAATTTACCAGTATGAAATATATAAAGTATATATACAAAAGTTTGAAAAGATTGCATCGTTTCGAAATTTATCAAAACTAAATGATGGTTCTTGAATCTATTTTTGTCTATGTATAAGGATTTAAGTGCCTCGCTGGTCAAATAAGTAAGGCGATTGGCTCAAATTTGGTATGGTAACTCGATGGTCGTCGGTTCCAATCCAGCCATTTCCAAATTTGTTCTTTTTCAGAAGTTTAGATACTTCGACTGCTTAATGTACGAGATCAAGCCATGAGATATTTGGATTAAGGAACGGATGAGGAACATGAAGTGTAGCGGGAGAAATAGGAACGAGAGCTACAAGATTACCTTATAATGATAAATTGTCAGAACGGATCTGAAATGTATCACGTTGCGCCCACAGATCAGTAAAAAAAGTATATGCAAAGACAAAAATTTGAAAAATCAATGAAATATGCTAAAAAACTATAAGGAACCATTCAAAATTGGATAAAAATTGTCACAATAAATTTGATAGATTGGAAAATGGTTGATAGCGTTTTCCTTTTTAAAAACTATTTTCATTATAGGTCTTTAATTTTAATAATTCGTGGTGATAGTTTATGCTTTACAATTGCATGGAAATAAGTATGTATACCGAAATTTATTAAAAATAGTTGATTGGATGCTTATATGTTCTGAATCGAAAGGAGAATTACCTTTGCTCATTCCAGCTTTATTCCTACGTTAATTGGATAAAATATGATTTTTAAATATTTAAGAGTATTTTTATGCATATTACATTAAATTTCAATATTTAGAA